TGAAGGTGGTGGTGCAGCGGGGTGGCGAGCCGATGAGGAGGAAGGAGAGGCCGGCGCGGAGACGACGGCGTTCCGGCGAAATTCGGGCGACGCCGTGGCCTGGCCGGGAGAGAGGACGGCACTGCGACGTCAACGGAGGAGACGGCGACATCGGTCGGCGTACCGGCGACGAACAGCAGCCGGCCGGAGACGGGGAAGTGGTGGCGACGCCACTGGACGCCGGCGAGGACGCGTCTCCGGTGCTTTCCCCGCGAAACGGAGGGCTGACCGAGGGAGAGGAGGCAGCTGCGACGCCGGGAGAGGTGGCGGCGCAGCCGGAGGGTGCACGGGTGAGGCGGGAGGTGCGGCTGGAGGTGGCCGGCGCGGAGAAAAGAGGAGGGCGACGGCGGGAAGGCAGCTCCGGGGGTCACCTCGCGAAACGGAGGGCAAGCCGGGGTGGAGGAGGTGGCGGCGACGCTGGAGGAGGCGACGGCGCGGCCGGACGACGCTCCGGCGAGGCGGGAGAGGCGGCTGGAGGCCGGCCGGCACCGGAGAGAGAGAGGGAGAAGGTGGGGAGAGGCGGTGCGGCCACGGGGGAGCTCGGGAAGAGGCTAAAACGGTAGAACGCAAAGAGGGGGTTCCATTTTATAGGAGAGGAGTGGGAGCCGGCCACGGGGGAGGTCGGAACGGCGGCGATAAAGGCGGCCGGCGGCCATGGTTGGTGACCGGAGAAAATGCGGGCGTTCCCGGCGATTGGGGACACGATTCAAGGGGGAAATTGGGGGGAATTGAAGAGGATTCAATGGGGATTAATTCCCCCCAATCAATTTGGAAAGAAGGGCATTGATTCGCGTGGATTTAGGGGAGGAACGGCGCTAGGTTTTCGGGGAGAGAGAGAGGAGGCCGGCTGGGAGAGGAAGACGATGACGACCTGGCGCGTGGGCCCCACGCGGTCAGGCGGCGGCTCGGGCAGGGGGGGGCTCGGCTGGGCGGGGACACGGCCCAGGTGGGAGAGGAGGGGGAGGCGGCCTGGGCCGGGCTGGGCCGGGAGAGGAGGGGGGGAAACGGCCCGGGAGAGAGAGGGAGGAGGGAGTGGGCCGGGAGGGGAAGAGGGGCCCAAGAGAAGGAGGGAGAGAAGGAGAGGGAGAGAAAGAGAGGGAGGAAAGGGAGACTTCGGCCGCGGGCCGAGGGGAGAGAGGGGGGACTTTGGGCCAGACTTGGCCCAAAGGAAAAGGAGGATTATTTTTAGATTTTCTTTTTAATAAACTTTGTTAATTGTTTTTGTTGCTTAATAATTATTTCCGGTGCTCTGAAAATTCAAGTAAAATTTGAGGGCTCCTTTTAGACCAAGGAGAATTTAACAAAAATTCTCCGGGCCACATTTGAATTTTTCTTGCACGTATTTTAGTGTTTGCCAATTTCTTTTCGAATTTTAATTAATTCTATTATTCCTTTTAGCGAATGATTTTTATTTCGGGATGAATTTATCAGGACGTGACATGTCGCCATGGTTTTTTGAGGACGTACACCTTCCCTCCTCTCAGGAAGTGGCTCCAACAGCATAAAAATCATCATGCAATATCCCATCCCACACAAGTTAAGAATTTAGTCTAGCCAAGTGTAATACACGTCCCGGTGCTCAATAACCACGAGCACGGCTATTCGAATAGATTTGATTTACTCACACTGCAGTGGATGTACACTTTACCCGCACTCCGCGACTGCCCAACACATGAGCCTCGTCCCAACACATGAGACGCGTCACGGCAAAGCTTTTCGATAACCTCGCATTGGCAGTACCCACTCCATGAACTTTACATCCTTATGCACTCTAGGCGTCATACGTTTCTAACAGTGAGAGGAGTTCTGGCGCTCCCGGGAAGGGAAAAACACACACACTCCTACGTTGCTTCTTGTTGTTGAACCCAGTCCATCATGATTGTTCTCTTATGGGTATCCTCATGTAGTATTGCCAAGCCAGCCTCTGACCATCCGAAACGGGCATCCGCCATCCACCTGGCCATCCGAACCGGGCATCCGCCAGCAGACTGCTTGCCACATCACACACCTAAAAGAAGACCACTACGCATGGATACTGCCTCCGCTCAGCTATCTACTCCACTAGGTCTATACCCATATGAGAAGTGCGGTTGTACGGGGGTCGTTTCATGCTTAACTTCATGGCTCGGTCCTTAATTGACCAGGGACAGCACTAGCATTTTCCGGATACCACCCAAATCCTCCAGCCACCCTAGTCGAAAACAGTTCTTTAACTTTATTTTCCTTTCACAAATCATGCCACCAATATCATGGCAATGTGGCGCTCATGTCTCCACATGCCACATCTCAATTACCTTCCCAAAGGTAATTGCCCAAGCATATAGCATTTGATAAATATGAGTATGCATGATTCTAGAATAGCATTTCTAAGCAATTGTCATAATTGACTAGAGACTTATACGTAAACATGGTAAACAATAATTAAGGCATGGCATAATCACAAGTAGGATGTTCATCATTGCATGCAATTTTATTTGTAAACAAAATAATTTCGCAATTGGGATCAACATGTTCAAAGAATAGTAATGACTTGCCTTGCTCAAAGTCTTGCGGATCTCGACCTTCGCTTGGATCCGCAACTCCCTCGGGCTCTATAATTACGTGCGAAGGAATAATTTGAATTCAATTAGAATCCAAATGAAATCCAAATAATTCACACAAACATCGAACGCGAAACACCCTTTCTAAATTGACAACAAAGTTCGCGGAATCGCTCAATTCGAATTGTTGGGTCATTTTAACCTAAGTCATTTTGTGATTTGAAATTACGTCCTAAGAATTCATCTAATTGTTTAGTTCTTAATTACATTTAAATTACTACCGCGAATTGATTACTTAAAGAGATTACCAAAAATAATCTATAAGAATTCATCTAATTGTTTAGTTATTAATTACATCTAAATTACTACCGCGAATTGATTTCTTATAGAAATTAGAATAGTCTATAATAATCTATGATTATAGTATTATTTTGCAAATACTACACTTTAGTTAATCCTATAATTAATTCCTAATATTTTAAATATCCTAAATCTCCTCCTAATTTCCTATTTATTTTCCTTTTCTTTTTCTCCCTTTCTTTTTCTTTTTCCTTCCTTTCTTTTTCTTTTCTTTTTCCTTTTTTCTCTCTTCTCTCTTTTCTCTCTCCCGGCTCCTTTCTCCCTTCCTCTCTTCTTTTCTCTTTCTCCCTCCCTCTCTCTTGGCTTTTTGCCCTCCCGGCGGCGATGGCGGTGGACGCAAGGGGGGGAAAGGCGGCGGCTTACCGACAGCGGCGGTCGGCGGCGACGACGGTGACGGCGGCGCAAGCCCCGACGCGGCACACGGCGTGGTGCGGCGGCACCGAGGGCGGCCCGGCGGCACGAAGGCAGCGGCGCGGCGGCACAAAGACGGCGGCGTGGCGGCACGAGAACGACGGCGCGGTGGTGAGGGTAGAGGGGAGGAGGAGGGAATGGAGTGGGGAGAATGGGGAAGGTGGGGTTTTTATAGGGGAGAGAGGGGGAAAAGGGAGAGAAGGAGGGGGGGTGAAGCGACGGCGGCGCGGGGCGCGAGGCGGCGAGGAGACGAGCACGCGGCGACGGGACGGGCGACGTGACGGCGGGGCTCGAGGCGACGGCGGCACGCGCGGCGCGGCAGTGGGACGGCGACGGCGACGACACAGCAGCGGCGGCGCACGGCTCGGAGCGACGGCGAGACGCGACGGCGACGGCGCGCAGCAGCGGCGCGGGGCGCGAGGCGGCAGGCTCGCGACGCGGCGACGGGACAGGCGAGCGGCGCGCGGGCGCGAGGCGCGAGGCGACGCGACGGCAGGCGCGCGGTGCGGCGGTGGCGATGGCGACGGCGCGCGGGGCTCGGGGCGGCCAGAGCGCGCGGCAGAGGAGGGGTTAGGGCTAGGGACCGCAATCGAACACCTAGGGTGCAATGAACAGTATATTTTCCTATTTATCCCGATTTTAGTTTATTTCCCATATAAATTTGATTCTATAATTTCTAAATCTTGCATAAATGAAGTTTACTCAATATGTGTATTATCCAAACCAATGGATCCACTCCAGATTAAAGATTAATTGTACCCATATTTTATTTTTATATAATTTACTTGATTTTAATTAGAGTTAATTCTCATTCCGTCTATTTAGATTTAATTGAAACAAATATGATCGCGATAATATTTTATTCATTTCTATCCTCACCTCAACCTTTATTTTAAATTGTATTCCGATTATTTATTTAGCCCAATTAATTTTTAGGGTTTATTCCTAATTAGTTATTCTTTATTCGCGATCAACAAACTTCGAAATCAAAATTCAATGGAATAGGCAAATAAAGTCGGCATGATGCAATTTATTTAAAAAGTTTTCGAAGGTCCGCATTTTTAGAGTTTTGTTTTTATTGGTCAAATTTTCAGGGTGTTACACACACCCAGTTGCTTCCTCTCGCCGTGGCCCACGCTTTATCCGCACTGCACGGAAGCATGTTGTTGGTTCCTCCACTGTGTTCCACTTTCACTACCTAGCTCCCCTCCGCCAGCTGCCCGTGCTGCTGCCGGCCCTCGATAGGTTCCGCTGGTCTCTTCGAGTGCGCCAATCTACGTCTCTTCGACTGAGGAGCCGACCACTGGAGCCAGCTAGGCAGGCGAGGAGTAGAGGAGGCAGTCTTTAGCAGTTGTTCGGGTGTTAGGCCCTTTTGTTCCGCTGCCAACTCTTTTGGAGTCGTGGCGAGGTAGTGCGTGTGTGTGTTTGATGTGGGTGTTGTATGGTAGTCTGGATATCCTAGGTGGTGTGCGTATAGTCAAGCTCGACGTAGATCTGTGACTTGTCCACACCCGTTTTATCAGGTGTCTTTATGATTTGAGAAATTCAGTTTATGCCTGTGTGTATGCTATTTGAGTTGTTATTTACTTTGCTTCTTGGCTTCTTTAAGTACTTATCTGATTCTTACCTTGCCCTTTTCTGGGAGTTTAGATGGCTAGCCGCCCCCGTCGCACTGCTCGTGCACCAAACCGTTTCGGTTTTGAGGAAGTTAGAGTTGAGCCAGAGGCAGATCATGAGGAAGACTCCATCATTAACATGTTGGTAGCTGATTTGGAAGCCCATGAGCAAGGTAGAGCTGCAAGACGGGCCCCACAACAGGCAGGGATGCAGTGAATGATGGAGACAATGGCCAATGCAGCTCAGTGCCATAATGTGTTTCGCATGAGGCCAGACAAAATTCATGCATTGTTTGGGATATTAGCTATGTGCAACATAGGCCTTTAGATTTATCACATGACATATAACATATTAGTAGTGCCAGTTGCTCTGATTTCAAGTGATCATATATATGACTCTACATGCATTAAGATATGAGATTTACAGCACTGCTGTCTGTACAGATGCTTAAGTTAGTTCTGACCATATGTAGATATGTCAAACTATGCAGCTGTACATTACTTAATCATCTACATGCAGCATAGTTTCCATTTTATTACAATATGACTGCTGTAATTTGCCAACTGCCTGTCGAAATGTTTGGTCAGCTGTACTGCCAACACAGATAATAAATTCTGAGCATCCTTGTAAGTTTCTGCATGTCCATGTGTGCACTCAAATTGCTAGAAAGTCGTACTCAGATGTTTTATGCTAAGTGCACCTTGTATTGACACATCCATGATAATTACATACAGTTAACATACAGAAATGTTGTTGGGTATAGATGCACTGTAGGTTGTCAAAATGATGCCAACTTACTATATTAGAAGTGAGCTAAACACCTTTGTTTGAATTCAGGATAGCTAATTAAAACTACTATGAATATCTGACAGCTAAACTTAGATGGCTGTACTTAAATTAATCTGAATATATATGAATATGCAAGGTTCAACATATGTGATTTACATGGTTATAGGTGTAGAGAAGAAGGATTGACTGAACTGATTTTGGACATTTTCTGAGTACATCTAGTTTGCCTCATATATAGGTTAACTTACAACATTTAGGTTACAGAACCTACTTGTAAATATACATGCTAGATGAATGAATGACTTAACTGAATCTAGAGATATATCTGAGTACAAATGTTTTTCCTGATATTTAGATTAAGTTAGATCGTTAATCTTAGCAAGAGCTACATACATCTCTATATGCATGCTAGATGAACTTAACATGACTGTACTATAGGAAGTTGATACATCTGTGAAACTATTTGTATATATGATTGATGGACTTACCTGATTTGACAGGCATATGTGAGTTCATATGGTTCTGCTGAAATTTACAAATGCTAATGTCTTATTTCTAACGAAATCATCTTACAGCTTACTATTAGTACCATGTCTCAATGCACTATCTATCTGAATAGAAAACATCTAGCTGAATTGAAAACATCTAGCTGCATACCTTGCACAACTAAACATAATACATACATCTAACTGAAGTTTATGCTCCTTTTGCACCAAATTGAAACCTGTTATGTGTAGGGCACAACCAATTATGACAGAAAACGCATATTTTGACTTGATTGAACTGCACAGCTGAACTGTGATTTAATGTTTTTTTGGTTCTGTGTGCACTGTCTATCTGAAATGCATGTACTTCTCACATTATTAGCTGCCCTCTTTGTATTTCATACCTTCATATTGAATCCAAATTGTTATGGCTTTGCTGCAGGTGAGGAGAGGTGTCCGTGTGTTTAGGAATGTACCTCTCAAGTTCATTCCTGAGCATCACGCAGTGTATAGTGGTAGGATAGTTACGCTCAACAAGTCTGGCGTTGTTGGACACAGGCCGGCACCACCACCGGTCCTCCAAGAAGCTCAGATCTTAGATGTTGATGATCTCACCAACCTGGCACTCCTACCACCTTCTCCGGAGCCATCCTTAGGTCCGCGCAGAAGGGGCAAGAGAATCATGACTCCCAGCTACTCTTCAGGTGGCAACAGCAAGGGGACCAGGAGGGACTCCACCGGAGATGCATTTAATAGGCTGGCTGACCTGAGGGTTCAGTCCAATGAAAGTAAGGCCAGGAGGGAGGAGCAGAAGCAAGCGAAGAGCGCTAGAGCATGCATGGAGATGCTCAAGGCTGATGGGATTAGCATGCAGGATCCCATCTACCACACAATCCTGAGGATGTTTCGTGATGGGTACCTGTGTGAGTTCTTCATTGAGGACTGCACCACACCAGAGGGTCGCATGTACTTCATCCAGCTGCATGGTGCACCAGACCTCACTCCTGACCCCCTGTTGTTTGCTCCACCGCCACCACCAACCTGCTCAGGCCATGTTGAGGGCTGGTACAAGAGGTTCAGTCCTCATGACGATGATGGTAGCGACGGTGCTAATGGTGGTGCTGATGGTGCAGCAATGTTTTAGCACTGCTTCTGCTTGCTTATGTCGCTTTGGTGCCATGTTCTGTTCGTGATGCATCTTTTAATTTCCCTGTGATGTCTGTTTAATAACTTGCTCCGATTCATATCGAGCATCGTGCTTGTTGTAGGCCTTATTTAAGGGCCCCTTTGAAACACAGGATAGGAAAAACACAGGAATAGGAAAAACGTAGGAATTGAAGTGGTATGTTTTCCTAATCCTACAGGAATGAAAAACACAAGAAATATGAAGAGGGTCCCTTTTTGATAGCACCATAGGAAACAAACAAAGCAAAAGGATAGTTTCCAAGAGGTTGAACCTCTTGCTTATTTTCCTATGAAATTGAGCTATAGGAATGCAATCCTAAGGAAAATTTCCTATACTTTCCTATGAATCAAAGGGTTTCATAGGAAAAATTTCTTAGGAAATTAAATCCTCAAAAATTCCTATGACAATCCTCCAATTCAAAGGTGCCCTAAGTTGAGTGGCTTCTTGAACAATTTCAGCACCATTAATTTGAACTATGTGAGCTGCAGTGCTTGAATAAATTATGTTGAGCTGATATTTATTTGCCTTTGTTGATTGCCCTTATTTTGTACAAGGAGCTAACTTTTTGTGGTTTGCTAACTTAATTTACAATTGCATTGCACTAATATGTTGCCTATTTTAATCACTGTTTTTTTGCAGTACTTTAATAATGTGAACTAACCTTTCGATTTCTACCTACTTAGAATCATTTTGTCATTGCAGCACATAGGCTTCTAACTTAACCATGATTTACTTTGTCATGTATTGATATAGGAACATGAGCACTTCTGAAAGATCATATGGTTCTAAGGATGGCTACTACAGTGAGGAGGAGGACTCCTTTCTGGACATGTTGGTTGCGGCTTTGAAGGCAAAGCTATGTGTGAGGGCAGCACGTTGGGTATCGCAACAATCTGGAATGGAATGGGTGATGGAGACAATGGAAAACCCATCTCAATGCCAAGCAATTTTCCGTCTGATGCCAGATCAAATCCATGCTCTGTTTGGGTTACTTACTAATCGATACAATCTTCATGGATCAATTGAGGTATGCCCAATGGAAGCACTTGGAATATTTTTGTACATCATGGCGGGGGGCAATTCAAATAGGGCCACTAATAATAGGATGGTAAGATCTGGGTCTACTGTCTCTAAGTACATCCATAGAGTGCTTAATGCGGTTTATGCTGCTGACATAAATAAGCCGGTAGATCCTAACTTTGCAAGAGTTCATTATCGTGTCCAGAATGATGAAGAATTCCAGCCATTTGCTGGTGCGGCTGGTGCAGTGGATGGAGCACACATTCATTGCATTGTGGCAGTGGATGATTCCATTCAACACAGGAACCGTCACCACATAACTTCTAGGAATGTTCGTCGCTATTGGATTGGACGACCGTGTCATTTTTGCAGATGTTGGGTGGCTAGGGTCTGTGCATGATCAACCTAACAGAAGCAGTACGGGGCTATCCGTTTGTTTTCCCAAGGCTACCATGGGGTATGTTTTGAATTTTAGGTTCAACAATTGCAAATGTTAGTGTCCATTTTCCAGAAATAATCACTTCGCTAATTTGTTGGTGCAGGGAAATATTTCCTTGTGGACTCGGGATATGCTAGCCGGTATAGATTCCTACCACCTTACCCACATGTTTGGTACCACTTGGATGAATTTGCGGGTAATAAGGGAGCAGCCTTGCCCCATGGAAAGGAAGATACTTTTAACTAAATGCACAGTTCGTAGCGTAACATAGTGGAAAGGACATTTGGAGTTATCAAAAGCCAGTGAGAATCCTGAGGGAAATACCTTATTTCCTTAGGAGTGACGACCATACCAAGATCATACATTGTGCATTAGTTCTACATAACTTCAGGATTGACAGCTCCGACATGTATTTCCTTACACAGAACCCATTGTACAATGGATACCCCATCGTTTCAGATGCTCCACCCTACGTGGCTGGAACGATGTACCTAACAGAGCGGCGGCAATGAATACACTCCGTGATACCATTGCAGATGAAGTTTACAACAGGTAAATGGTATTTAGTTTGCACCGTTTAAAATAATTAACATAGCCATGTCTGTCATGGATATGTTCTCTATATGTATTGTGTTTCTAAAATCTGTCTGTACTCGTCCATGTGTAGTTCACTGTGTTCCTACTACTGTCGTGTTTGTGTGATTTATCTCTAGCATCCTCTCATGCTTAATATTACCAGCTTTGCTCTAATCTCCCGAAGTCCCGATTTAATTTGATATCTTCCATTAAGTTTTGGTGACACCTTCGTTAGCAGCCGGCTGCTTTATAGCTGCACAGCACGTGAAGCAGAGCAGCAGCCGTTCGGCTGCCTCACCGACAGCTGCACCGACAGCTTGACGGTGCTCAAACGGCGCTTCCTCACTCCGTTCCTGCTCTGTTGCCACACGGCATTAAATTGCTTCCCAGCTGCCGTTGCTCCGTTGACGTTGCCACTCAACTGTGTTTGCATGTTCAGGTTTGAAACATAGTGGTTCCGCACAGAAAACAGAAAAATCTATTCGCAGTAACTAAATTTTTAATCTTTTAAACAACTTTCATATATAAATTTATTTTTTAAAAAACACATCTTTTAGTCATTTGAAAAATGTGCGTGAGGAAAACGAGGGGAAGCTGCTAGTAACAATGCCATTGCACCATACGAACGAGCCCGAGCTGGTCGTAGCACTGCTCCTACCTTGACCACAAACGGCTGCGTTCGTCTGCAGGAGATCATGAGAAAGTCTCGTTTTTGTTGCGCATGCTTTCTAAACTACTAAGGCACTGTTTAGGGTTGAAAAAATTTAGCATGTCACATCGGATATACGGATACATATTTCAAGTATTAAATATAGTTTAATAATAAAACAACTTATAGATTTCGCATGTAAATTAATCCGTCATTAGCAAATATTTACTGTAGCACCACATTGTCAAACCATGGCGTAATTAGACTTAAAAGATTCATCTCACAATTTATACGTAATATGTGTAATTAGTTTTCTTTTCTATATTTAATACTCTATACATATATCTAAACATTCGATTTGACATGCTGAAAAGTTTTCTAAACAGGGCCTAAATTAGTGTTCCAACTTTCAATATCATAGGGACTAAAATTAGTCCCATGAATCCAAACACTACCTTAATAAACCAATGCTGATGAGGTTTTTTTATTTTGTTTTTTAAAGACGAAGATACCCATCTTTGTATGGCCGACAGAAAAGCTGCTGTAGTTGGAAATGGCAAGGAATGATCTACTGTGGGCTTGACCGACGAAATCATAGGAATGAAGGTGATGTCATCTTCTATCACTCGTAGAAAAATTGACAAGGAAAATTAAAGAAAATCAAGAGAAATGGAAATTGGAATTAGCACCAGGGGATTGAAAGGATAGAGGTGTTGCCGTGTAAAGAAGAGCTTAAGACCTCAGCCAAACCAGCCATGGATAAAGATTAAGTACGCTCACATAAAGATGAGAAAGTCATTATACCATCGCCATTGGAGTTTCGTCTATTCCGCACCGTTAAATATACTATTCATACTATAGCACTTAACGGTGCAGAATGGATGAAACTCTAACGGCGATGGTATTTTTTTTGGAAAAAGTCGTTTGTACGATGATATTTGTTGAAACTCACACTTGTCGATAGCATTTCTTATATTTGAATGCTTGCCAATGGTATTTATTGGATTATATCTTAAAATAAATTATAGGAGACTCTATATTTAAAACAAAAATATTCACAAAATAAAAAAATTGTGAATAAAATAAAGAAACACTTTTCAAAGTTTTTTTTAAAAAATAAATAAACTAAAATTTCAAATTTACAACAGCTAATGTAATTTCAGTAATCTTGCATTAACGATCTTTCTGGTTTCAAGCGTCGACGACAAACTCAGCCAACAAACATCCAAGAAATCGGCCTTAACAAACTATGTGAACATGGTGGATGCATGCATGCCACAAACAGAGCAATTTTTGCTGCACTCATGCTAGCTGAAGTTGTGAACTACCACTGTTATTAAATAATTTATTTTTCACTTATCTCATAGTACTAACAAACAAAAAAACAGAATACCTTGATTTTATCAAATCCCGATACAACCATTCCTCGTATTATCGAGTCCAACACAATTATCTTCTACTTTTACGATCATCATCAAGATAATAATAATTACTTAAAAATTAAAGTTATTTAATAGTATAAACAAGAGATATCAAGAAAGAAATTTGAAACAGAGGAAGTGTAAATTAAACTTCATAGATTACTGTCAGTCTGACAGTGAACACGTCCGTTAATAACTAGACATGGCATCTAGGGATAAAACATGCTGTCGTTGATGTCGACGTAACCGAAGCGATCGAGGTTGTCCTTGACGAAGGCCTGCAGCCCCCTCTTGTGGTGGAGCAACTTGTTCTTGATGGCGGCGGTTCCGATGGCCAGGAGGCGGTCCTTCTCCTTCTGCTCGTCGGTGTGGGAGGAGATCACAGTGAAGACCGGCTCGTAATCCTTCTCCGGCAACGCCCAGGACAGGATGGTGTCCATCTGTTCCTGACCCATCCTGTACGTTTGGTACGTCTTGGGACTCCCCATCTCGCGCTGCTGCTCTCCCCCACAACCTCCTCCTCGATCGGCGGCGCAAATCTTCGATCCTTCTTCTCGGCGGCGGCGGCGGCGGCGGGAGGACTAGCGAATAGCGAGTATGGTGGGAGCGATCTGAAGACGAGTGGGATCGATGTGATGCGATATATAGGAGGAAGGCCTCCATCCGTCTCCTACTCGGACTCGGCCCACTCCGACTAAGTTTAATCCCCGTCCCAAGACCGGTCGCCAACCCGAGCGCGCGCGCGCGCGTACGCCGGCCGCCGACTCCGACTTCGACGACGTACGGCCACCACCCCCCAACGAATTAATTAGCCACACGGAAGGACAAGCTAAGGTAAGGGCTAGTCATTTGGTACTATCTATAGTTAATCGCGGAGACGTACGGCATACAGTGCTTGCTGAGTTGCTGTGCAACGGTACAAGCGGAACTTGTCTTCTAACGTACGTTCTGCATCATGCAGTGATCGATCAATCCGACTACGAACTTAGTTTTGCACTAACTGTCGCAGTGTTGAGTGGAAAAACTAATACACGTTTGTTACAAAATATAACAAGTTCTAGATTTGAATATAGCCATAGATTTGGATATAGCCATAGCGGAGCTATAGCGAAATAAAGGGTGGTGCCACTTGTTTAATTTACTCTATCTTAGATCGAGTTTAAACTAATACGGGTGCCTAAGTTTGTATTGAGAGGGGTGCATACATGGTGAAAATAGATAAGATGTAGCTAAAAAAATTTTTTGACCGGGTTCCTGGGCACCCCCCTAATATACACTAGCTCCGCCCCTGGATATAGGTATTAAATACTCCCTCTATTTTTTAATAGATGACGCCGTTGACTTTTTCTCACATATTTGACCATTCGTCTTATTCAAAAATTTTATGCAAATATATAAGATATAAATCACACTTAAAGTAATATAAGTGATAAAACAACTCATAACAAAATAAATTATAATTACGTAAATTTTTTAAATAAGACGAATGGTCATAAGAATAAGTCAACGGCTTCATCTATTAAAAAACAGAGGTAGTAAGAAAGTGATAAAATTAAAAAGTGAGAGGTTGTAATTGGTTAAAGAATGCTTCCTCCATTTCACAATGTAAGACTTTCAAGCAATGTCCATATCTATATTTCTAGATTCATTAATATCTATATATATGTGAACAATGCTAGAAAGTCTTACATCGTAAAACGGAGGGAGTATATAATTAAAGAGGTTGTTATATCCTAAGATAAATTTTAAATACTAAAAATAACTATAGTTTTGGACGGAGGGAGTAGCAAATTATTGAAGAAGCCTACGAGCTTTGGGGCCTCTTAATGTTTTGATGCGAGAAATTTTTTCTCTATATTCCAGTTAGCTGTTGTAACTCCCACATTAACCATTTCATGATTTTCGAACGTACGAATATATGTTAAGGGTCCTTTGAATCAAAAGATTTTAATTAAGAAGGAATTTCGTATAATTCAAATCCTATAGGAATTTTTTCTATGTGACCATTTTATTCAAAGGATTGCGGTTTTCCAAATCCTATGAAATTCGTTTTTCTTACAGTCCAATCGAACACTCATTCCTGTGTTTTTTCAACGTTTTGCAATCCTCTGTTTTATACTTGAATTATATTCCTATTAGAATCCCGTGTTTTTCTGATCCCTCTGTTTTTTTCAATCCTGCGAGTCAAAGAGGCCCTAAATATTATAGAAATGATATAAGGAAGATAATTTGATATCATTATATGTTGAGCTCTAAAACATTATACTCTAGATGATATGTCATACTTGCACATAAGTTTCCAGATACTCTAGAATAGTAATAATTGCTAGTGGATGAGTATGTGACATACTTACATGCTTTGCTTTATCTTGTTAGAATTGCTAGTTGGTCCAGTATAGATAGTCACTGGTACAGAAATCTCTATAGGTGCCGGTTGGGAATTGGCTATAGGTGCCAGTTTTCCAGCCGGCACCTATTGGTCGGCACCTTTGCCTCAATCTTATTGGTGCCGGTTCTAAAACCGGCACCTATACTAATTAAAAAAACGATGGCACCTACACCACCGCCGCCACCACCACCTCGCCCGGCCTCCACACCACCACCTAGCCGTGCCCGCCTCCGCGCCGCCACATCGGCCTCCGCGACGGCGGCTGCCACCCAACACCGCGCTGGAGGAGGGGGGAGGTCCCCCGGGAGAGGGGGGGTCGGCGAGATCCAGCGACCACGCCACTACCTCGCCGCGTCGGCCGCAACCCCACGCCGTGCAGGACGAGAAGGGAAGGGGGGCGAGGCGCTCCGCGCCAGCCTCTACCTCACCTGCGCCGCCGCGAGCACGAGCAGAGGAGGGCGAGAGGGGCGAGCCTCCTCCAGCCGTCAGCCGCTGCCCCGGCTAGCCTTCTCCACCGAGCCGCCTCCTCGTCCGCATCGGCCGGCCTTCTCCACCGCTGAGCCGCCCTGGAGGAGGAGAGAAGGGGGAAGGGCCCCCGGGTTGGCGAGGACCTCCGCGCCATCCTAGCTTCTCCGTTGGCCGCCGCCGCAACTCTGTCATCGTCGGGCGCAATGTGAGAGGAGGGGCAAGAGAAATCAGAGAGGGAGAGAGAGGGATGGCTGGCGCAGTGTGGTGGATGGATAAGGATGTCGATAGTATTGGTGGGGTGGATAAGGATGTGCTATGGGTGGTAAAAAGAGACCGGCTCGGTTTTTTTCAAAGGTGCCGATTCTATTAAAAAACCGGCATCTATATTATAGGTGTCGGTTTTTTAAGTACAACCGACACCTATACTGATACTATATGTGTTGGTTCTACTTTTTTTATCATGTGAGGGTGGGAAAAGGGGCCGGTTTCTATGATGGTTTTTTAGTAGTGAGTCAACGATAGCACGGAATGGTGATGGTTGAATGCAATAAAATCTCGGTAGGAATGGAAGTATGGAACTGAGACTCCAATAGAATTCTGCCGAAAACTTCGAATGAAATTCTAAATTAAAATATGTAATTTCAGCCATATTCTATTTTGCCAGTAGCAGTATTATACGTCGGTCTACATGTACGAGGAAAATGGAGAAATGGTGGAGGTATAGAACCGTAGGAGTAGTTTGTGTACGTAAGGAAGAGGTAGAACCATGAAATTTCAGCATTTGTTTAAGGAATTTCTCAAAATTTCAGATATTTGAAACCTTTGCATATGCAACATATATAAATATCATCTCTATACACATTACAAAGAGATCATAATTAATTGGGAAGTGTATACCGATCGCAAAGAATCATTTGGGAATGAATCAGCTATAACTGCCGGGAGAATCTTGTATATGCTGATCTACGTATTCTTTAAGATAAATGTGATATGATCTACGTCTGCATAATGATGCAGGATCGTATATGCTAATGCTTGTTGCTTCAGAAAAAGGTGTGACCAAGACGAAAGGTGCAGTACGGGAATCAGAATGACAAACGAAGTGTGGTCTCAATAATAGAACTAATGAGCTATGTATTAGTCAGGAATCAGCATATATACTCTCAATCAGTATACTGCCTTGTCCTATACATATATAGATTCGTTCCTACGGAAATTTCGGTTCCTAACAGTTGACGGTACGTCAACCATGCAGAGTGCTAGACGACCTAATCGATTGATGGATATTGAAGATATATATTTCTACAAGAACGATTATTGGCAGAGTGCAATTTTTTTAAAAAAAATGGTTGAGGTACTATAGCTATAGGAGCAGTATCGGATAATAATTGATCACATATCGCTATAGCTTAGCGTATATACATAGAGTACGTGACTTACATATCAAGTCAAGTGGTCTTATCTTATATAGAAATAAGGCCTGTTTAGATCCCACCTCAAAATTTTTCACCATGTCACATCGAATATTTGAACATCTACATAGGCTAAAAAATAACTAATTACACTGATTGTGACTAATTTGCGAGACGTATCTTTTAAGCCTAATTGTTTCATGATTTGATAATGTAGTGCTACAGTAAATATTTGCTAATGAAGGATTATTAGGCTTAATAATTTCGTCTTGCGGTTTACTAATGGATTCTGTAATTATTTTTTTATTAGTGTCCGAATACCCCATTCGACACCCTATATAATACCTTACGTGACAAGCCAAAACTTTACACCCCTAAATCTAAACACCCCATAAATAACAAATATATGAGAGAGCATATAAGTAACAAAATATACAAGGAGTGCATTGATGTGTGCGCACGTGGGAAACATATCCTATGCACGCCAGCTGGTAAATGTTATCGAAAATTTTAGAAAATATTGTACACGTAGTTCTAGTAAAGTCTGTATTCAAATTCACTATATTTGGTCGTAGAAAAAGAACAAAATTCTGACTGAATTATATTATTAAAACTGTCATAATTTTGTATTTTTCAGGCTAAAATATAATAAGTTTAAATATGAAACTTTGCACATAGGTATAGTGTACCATTGGAAGAACATGCATAATTTTTTATATGAATTTTTCATAACATTTGCTAGTTGGTATGTACAGCATGTGCGCTGAAAGTTTGTGTTTATAAGTCTATAAGATACATTTGCCGTGCTATGAGTGCGTCTTGAGTAAGTAGACAAATATGAAACCAGGTATAAATTCTAACAGATTCTAACATATCTCTTGTAGTCTTTCTATGCAATTCAGCTGATATAGTGTCTATGCTTCTTGTAAACGCCTAGTGAAGCAACCTCCCTCGCAACAAAAGAAAATAAAGTAAACTTGTGCTTCGAAACACAAGATTATTAGTTTTATGCCGTGAGCTTTGAATTTTTTTAGTTCAACTTTTCTTTTCTTGCTTTAGTTTGTTCGTTCCTTACAGCATTGCAAGAACACTCTTTTGCCTAATTGCATGCATGCCTGACGATGCTTCCCATGCACGCCTAGTACGTGTTTTACACAGCACGTTCTTCATAATCATAGCTCTTAAGGATTCAGTCCAAAGTTAAACGCCGAGTTGATATACGTCTTTTAACCGAAATTTAGGAGCGAATTTTAAAATTGATTTGGAGATGTTAGTAAGATTTGATCCACGGAACACGTATGTATATATATATATATATATATATATATATATACACGGCAAATACTTCTACTGCATGCAAATTAACCAATTAGTTAAGTGAGCATTTGCTAGCTAGTTTCAAGAGGAAGAATGTTTTACTAGTCCTTGCAAATATCTCTACCTCTCGTCTCCAAGGAGAATATAAGGAAGCTTTTTTTTTTCTGTTTGTGTTTGAACAAATACTGAACCGAAAGTCTGATAATTAATCTGATTAACGTGCATGCACATATATACGAGCTGTGAGCCGAAAGAAAATGGTTGATTATGAAGTACTTCCTTCGTGGTTAAGAAAAAATGTTAGTTAATTCCGCCAAAGAAAGGCAAGAGTGAAACCATTCTTTTTGTCTCTTTGACGGTGGACCAAGATTCCAGTTACTATATAGACAATTCCAATGCAGTGCATGCTAAGGCATATGCATCCTTGGTTATGGCATGTTTAAACATAGAGGTTATATATATGACTTTTTTTAGCTGTGATTAGTCAAACTGTTTTTGAAGAAATGTATGTTTCGTGAGTAATGCCACTAATATGTGCTGTTATAAATGCTATTCCTTTGTTATTAATTCCATAAAATCCATGAATAAAAATGTCAGTTGTTCTAATTTGACGACAATACAAGATATGAGACAACATTATATGTATAATTAGCGGACCAGCCAATTAATATCATCCTTCTCAAAAAAAATAAAGTTTGCAATCCAAAAATAATCTGCAAGCAAGGTATAAGTAACCTTTCAATGTTGTTGGCCCCTTTCACCGGTTTCAATGCATGTGTTGTGCCTGCATTGAGATGCACTTGTGTGTTAAGGAAAGGAGGAAACTAGTGCTGTGCTGGCTAGTCATTTTATAAGTTCATAGGTCGTCTTCAAGTTGGGGTCAATGGGAGGAACAATCGAGAAAGCGACCTCCAAATACTTGCAGTATTTTATGACGGATTATTCCTACTAATCCAGCTCCCCTGATCCTGGCCTAAACACTGTCTCTATAAATAGAACAAGGCCGTGCAACAACTTGATCACAAGTTAACCAGGTCATCACCAACATACAAAGCTAACACCACTAGCTTAGCTCGCTTGGTCTCCCAAAGGAAGAACATATATGGCCACTCCTCTCAACCTTCTCATTGCTCTCCTCTTCATCGTCGTCTCCGTTCAAGGTAAATCTTGTAACACAAAGAGAGATTATGTGTTAGTACAATTGAAGTTTCTTGTTAGTATAAATTAATTTAAGTTTCTTAATTTCTTTTGATGTTTCAAAATTCCAGTGTAAAAATTATTTCAACTTAGATATATGACAGATGGCATAACAAATAATCATCCATCTTTATTGGGACACTTATCTTCACAAGTGAATGATTCCTCTCTAACCCCTAGAGCTAGCTAGTTTTAGTCGTTGTAAGCACATCTTATATATGCGAATAATTGCAAGACAAATTAATAGTAGTTATTTTTCTCCAGTTAATTATGCATGCATTTTCCTTATACTAAATTGTTAATTAACATGAATTAATATAATAATATTGAGCTTGATCGATCGTCATGATGATCAGGGACAAATGGGGCCGATCGCTGCGCCGCGTCGAGCAGCATCGATGTGCAGACCATCAACACCGGCGAGGCCGCGGCCGGCGGCGGCGACACGGTGTTCGAGGTGCAGGTGAAGAACCTGTGCGGCTGCAGCGTCAGGGACGTCCGGCTCGACGGCGGCGGCTTCGCGACGACGGTGGAGGTCGACCCGGCCGTGTTCCGCGCCGCCGACGACGGCGGCGACTACTACCTGGTGAACGGCGGCGGGCCGATCGCCAGCATGGCCACCGTCAGCTTCCGCTACACCTGGGACCACTTCTTCCAGATCACTCCCCGGAGCATGGAGGAAGATCAGTGCTAGCTATAGCTAGCTACATACACTTGGGTACATATGCAAAGTTGGAGGGAATAATATTCTTGCGTGAGCTAATACACATGTGTTGCAGTGTTAGCTAGTACTATATATACTAATGTTCCATGAAAAGCTAGGTCAAGTGTGGAAGAATTATTCCTGCATGGGTTTATATATGTGTAGTACAGTGGTCTAATGTGTACTGAGTGAGGGATCGAATATTACAAAAAAAGTTTAGCTCAATAATGTATACGGTCTTTTGCATCTCAATAAATGGTTTGTAATTGCTAGTTACTTTCCATCTGGATATTTAGAAAGTTAAATTGTATCTTGTGACTAAAAAGGTTGATTACAATTATAAGTTCCTAGAAATTTAAAAGAGATTTTGCCTGTCATAAACTCAAGATTAGAAATGAAACGTAAGGGGCTATGGACAGGGACGGATCCAGCGTGGGCGTTAGGGTACTCAAGTCCTCTCTACCCCGTTGTACCACCATCGAGAGAAGGGGAGATAGGAGGGGAAGAAGAGAAAGAAGAAAAGCTGGAGGAGGAAGGAGATAAGCCGCCCCCATCTATACATTTCTTGTATCTGCCCATGCCTATGGGGTATAGCTAGCTAGGTAGACACATGAACAAATCTAAGACAAATCTGTAAAGTCTTGTGTAGTTTGGAGGGGTTAAAAGGGATTGGGGGAGCCTCTCTCATAGGGATTAACCGAACATGGTCTAAAACGGTACACAGAATCATTTGATTGGACTTGTAGGGACATGCTATTGAGTTCCCTTCCTTGACGTGTGTATCCGGGCTCCTGTGAATGCACGGTCTAGCGGTCCCGCATTGTAGCCAGCCATCAGGGTATTGCTTGTGGGCGGGTAATCGCTTTCCCGATCTCCTCCTAGCGATCACCCGTCCCTCCCCCCTATACGCTCTTCCTCTCCCCCTTCCTCCTCCCCTTCTTCTCTTCCTACTACAATACACCATAATTTTTTTTTAAAAAAAAACAAAGTTGGAAAATTTATGTATAGAAATACTATATATAAAAAATTTAAATTCAAATTCAAATTTGAAACTGGTATGTAAACTTTTAACTTATAAACTTTGGGTCTATAAACTAATATTTGAATTCAAATTCAAATTTGAATCGGGTATGTAAACTTTTAACTTATAAACTTTGGGTCAATAAACTTTAGGTATATAAACTTTAGATGTATAAAAATACTATATATAAAAAATATTTGAATTCAAATTCAAATTTGAATCGGATGTAATTCAAATTCAAATTGAATCGGGTATGTAAACTTTTGACTTATAAACTTTGGGTCTATAAACTTTAGGTGTATAAACTTTAGATGTATAGAAATACTATATATAAAAAATATTTGAATTCAACTTCAAATTTGAATCGGATATATAAACTTTTGACTTATAAACTTTGGGTCTATAAACTTTAGGTGTATAAACTTTAGATGTATAGTAATACTATATATAAAAAATATTTGAATTCAAATTTAAATTTAAATTGTATATATAAACTTTTGATTTATAAACTTTGGGTCTCTAAACTTTAGATGTGTAAACTTGAGGTGTACAAACTTTAGGTGCATAAATTTACTAAAATAGGAAAGTAATGCGGTGTCAAAAAAGAAAACCATGTGGAGGAGAGGGGGGCGTGCTAGGGGCGATCGATCGCCCGTTAGCAATCTCGCAGCCGTCATGCCTATGTCCTGATTCTATTTGTATTAATTGGTTTGTATAAATTGATTATAGAGATAAGACAAGTGCTAGGCTATATATTGTAACATTGATCTCTCAATCAATATCAATGCGATGAATATCTCGCTAACAATACCCATAGTGTCGAACCTAGTAGATATAATGACTGCTCCCCTATTAATGGTTGTTTCTGCCTTTATTGACTTGACCTCGCTGATGTCTTTGCCCTCTAGATATATGTAGGGAATAAAAGCAGAGCAGATTTAGATAAGTAGTGGTTATACCAAATCCTATACCATATTTTAAAGCGGATTTAGATTAGGTGTAGATGATGTGAATATGCGGATGCAGAGCGAATAATTCCGGATGTTGGAAATGGTGCCAAGTCGATTAGAACTTAGCTCGGAAATAGATTAAAATTGTCGGATGTTGCGTATATATGCAATCAAATACAACATCAAATTGCTTATCGTCATCACCACATTGGATCTCACATCATCACTAGGTTGGAACCTACACTATAGATGGGCCGGGCCGGGCAAGCATGATGGGCCTTCGTGCCTTCGGGTCGACCCGGCACGGTCCGAGTAGTATTGGGCCATGCCTGGGCCGTGTATGCCGCCCGTGGGCTGGCACGACACGGCCCGGTGCGTCAGTCGGGCCGTGCCGGCCCGACAAGCCTCGCCCCAGGCACAGGCACGGCCGGGCTTGGGCCGTGCCGTGCCGGGTGGCCCATATGCCATCTATAACCTACACTACTACAAAATCAACTTTTGCATACCGTCAAAACCGATTTTTGAAGGTAGCTGGGTCACCCGCATGCACTCAGGTATTTGCAAAAATCGGATTTTTGCATGCGGGGAGAGCAATCGCATGCGAAAATCCGATTTTTGCATGCTTAAGCCGTCCGGTTGCAAACATGAAAAATCACAAAAAATAAATAAATAAAAACTCCGAAAATCGATTTCCTTTAGCCCCAAAACCCTAACCCTAGAATCCAGAAGTCGCCGTCGTCACCGTCCTCACCATCATCGTCGCTCGAAGCCGTCAGAAGATCTGGGTGAGTGGGGGGGTGGAGAGACGATAGGATCCGCATGGGAGGGGTAAGGGGCACTGGATCCACACCTTTCGTCACTGCTACCGCTACCGGAGCCTAAGCTCGAGCTCGCAATCCTTGCCTACTGAAAGTGCATCTAGGCCCCAATTGTTTTGATGATTAATGACAATACGATTAGAGAGGACTAACACGTTTGTTTACGTGAATGTGAAGGATTGTTAGTCCGTGACAATATGTAGCGCAATACATATCTCAATGAATGTGATAATTCATGAGTTGCGGCAATGATCAAAGGTTATATTGTACATTTTCAATTCTTCATGTCATTAAGAGGGATTATGCATTGACATATGAGGAGTGATGAATGTGCTCAAAATCAATTTTTAAAAGTGTTTCTCCTCAGTTTCTGTGTTCTGGAAATTTTCGAAGTTGTCTGAAACAGATTTTTGGAATTTCCAAAAATAGACATAAACAATTTTAGCTTCTAGAAATTTTCGGAATTGTCCGAAAAGTGATTTTTTGGAATTTCCGAAAATGACCGAGCAGCAAAATAAGTTTCTGTAAATTTTCGAACTTGTCCGAAACTGGTTTTCGGAATTTTCGAAAATGGCAGTGAGGAGAAAATGTTTCTGTAAATTTTCGGAGTTGTAGGAAATCAATTTCCGGAATTTCCGAAAATGTCTGCGAACCAAAAATGCTTCTGGAAATGTTCGGACTTGTCCGAAGGGTATTTTCGGAATTTCTGAAAAATGTCCAGAAGGTTGTTTTGGTTCTGGATATTTTTGGACTTGTCCGAAAAGTTTTCAGAGTTTCCAAAAAATCCTCAGTTGACTTTACTATTTCTCTAATCTAGAAATTTTCGGATATGTCCGAAATTAATTTTCGTAATTTCCGAAAAATGCAATTATTGTGCATAACGGGCAGATCTGGAGCTATGGCTATAAATAGCCCACTCGCTCCACTTGTGAGGGTTGCTAGACTGATTGGATATTTCGTGCCAGGCTTGTTCATCTTAAGATTCACTTTTGAGCCTTGCTTTCTTGTGTCCCCTCTCTACTTGTGTTTGACTCGGATTTGGTTTTTGTGTGAGAGTTGTGGATTCGAGTTTGTGTGAGTGCTTGTTGTTGGCTTCGTGAAGATTTGTGAGCACTTGCATCATCTCCGGAAGTTCTTTGCATCATTTGTTACTCTTGGAGGTTGAGGACTCCTAGACAGCTAGATGTCACTCTCGAGCCACCGATCTACGTGTGGTTGGCTGGGAGAAGTTTGTGAAGGTCGGATCTCACATCCGAAAGGGAAGATATACCACTAATGGAAGGAGTGTTTTGTGGAACCTCTTGAGGAAATGGTTAGCGAAGACCCGGCTCTTTGTGAGCTCCTCAACGGAGAGTAGAATCCCCTCATGGATTTGAACTCTGAGAACAACTCATCTTGTTACAACTTTGTTGATATCTCACTCCTCTAGCTTTGCTTGTTTGTGCTGCTATAGGTCTAGTTGCTGTTTGTGCTAGTATATTCTTGTTGTAGGCAGCTAGATCTAGAATTTATTTGAATTGCGCATACTCTACTATTTTCGGAAATAACGAAAATCATTTTACCCGAGCCTGCTGCCCTTACCCATCACCAACAGAGCCCAAGCCTTGCCCAACTGATAAATTGGACTATTGGATGGACCAACTCATGTTATATGGAATAGATAGAGTGGTTACATGAGCTAACAATTTTCAATTATTTGGCAAAGAATCTATTGGATAATCCTCGTCAATAGGATTTTATGGATACCGCATCTACACCCGAATCCACACCATACTATCTGAGTCCGCATTTTTATCCTCCATATTTTCATAAACCCATACCATATCCTGATTTCAGACAAATTTGGAGTGGATCAGATTTTATCTGATCTGTTTGGACCTTTAGATATATGCTACAGTCGGTTCAGGATAAAATCCAATTGTCCCAGAAGCACCAACCAAGGATAGGAAAATATATTCAAGGAGACAAAGTTGTGAAACTGATTGAGCCATAAAAAGAAGGCAACACAACCTACTCAAGCCATCCATCCTCGTTGCGAGAGTGTGAATTGTTTTTTTAGTTTCTCCTAAAAACCTTCCATTTCACCCATGTGACAGATGTTTATCCCTACTTTATCTAAATCGGCTTCACTAGTCACTTTTAATCTTTCAAACCCATCTTGATTTAGATATGTCTACATTGAGGTGGTTCGCGACTCCAAATCACCACAAAGAGTTAGGTGCCGGATTGTGATTAGTGGCATGACAAAAAAAAAAGTTGCCAACAGTCCTCCCGTCTCACCTCTCCTGGCCACCGCCAAATCCCCTCCTGCCATGCCTTCCCCAATCAATGCCGGATCCACTCCCGCCAGGCCTCCTCTAACCGCCGCCGGATCTCCTCCTGCCAATCCATAGGCGACCCCCTTCTCTTTATCCGGAATCTAACATGATAGGAGCAGGGGTTAGGCACTTCTCGAGATAACTCGAGGTGGTCGGTGCAGGAGGGGCCGCTCCTGCTATGGCAGGGGGGAAGCAACGACACCAGCGGCAGGCACTAGGAGGGGAGGGCCCGTGCGGCAGCGAGGCATACATTGGAGAAGATATTGGGCTGATTTGGTTTGAAGCCAAAACTTCCCATACCAAAATATTGGTATTTTGAACAGTAATTTTGGCAATGTTTGATTTGCTACCAATACTTGTCAATACCACACAAATGTTGCCAAAATATTGGCATTACCAATAGTTTGGCATGGTTGGAAACCAAACAAGCCCGTTATTCAGAGAGGTTTGCTGCTTTGACGGGCTTTGATGGGAATATTGACGGTGATGGTATATTTTTAATTTACGTAAGTACCAGTGGTGCCCACACTATTTTCTGCTTTATTAGTGGCATTTTTTTTCCAGTACAGCGATTTTGTAATGGCATGATCAAATTTACCATATAAACAATGAGACAGAGTAGCATGTTTAATTATGCATACCGATCTAGTGCTTCCCAACGACCCCATAGATCTGTCATCATGTTACCTTGCCTGTCAAATTTTATTATGAGAAACAAACTAATTAACTACTACCACTGTTTTTTTAATATATAGCGCCATTAACTTTTTGACAAACGTTTGATCATTCATTTTATTTAAATTTTTTGTGCAACTATACAAATTTTGAGTCATGTTTAAATAACATTTGACAATAAATCAATAAAATAAATAATAATTACACAAAACTGAGGGAGTACTGGTTTCTAGCGATTGCAAACAGACGGCATGGGCGAATTAGAATACAAATTACTTAATAAAATACAAAGACATTGCAAACAAAATGGATTTTGACAGGCCCAGCGCAGTGGTAGACTGATGGTGCACTGGTATTCAACCTGCAACAGCAGAATGTATAAGCTCGTTTGGACTTTTGAGTTGAGGCAAAGTGCATAAGTTACCATTCAAAGTTTAGCACATATACATATTGTTTAAAAAATAAATGCATGACCTATTTGAGGAGAATGAATGCAAGTTTCTAGATTGTTTATGAGAACAGAGAAGGAACACATGTCAGGAGTATTAAACAACAGCTATAAAAGGCATACTTCAGACAGCTTGGCAACATTAGTGAGTGTTGATTCTGGAATGGATTGTTTTTGCAATTTCATCTAGAAAACTCATACATAGAGTTCACATAAAGATCCTTCTCACACTGCTGTTGAGTAAAAAAATCAGCTGCGCTTTCGGCAAGAGTACAGCTTTTCATGGGCAGCTTACAACTACAAGTAAAGAATGACAGTCCCAGTCTTGCTAATCCTGTATATACAAACCATTGTTTCTCAAAATAAACAGAAAAAAAAATGCATACAAGAAAGGAAGGCAACCTACGGTAAACACTGCAGTATATGAGTATAAAATTGAGGCCTCTGTGACAGCCAACTCAACGGCAGTGCCCCTTATTTCTGAAAAAGCATATTATGCCAGAAAATGGTTGCTGAATTGAAATACAGTTTGATTTCCGTTCTTCGCAACAACGAATTATCCACCCTCCAACAAGGAGTGGGGATGGTGGTTCCATCTGCCTTGACCACCCTTCAACAATCATCCCTCCATGATCATGGAATCTGCAAGAGAGGGGCAGCTTTTGACATGCTTTCCATCAGATGTAAATGTTGTTGATGTCACTAAGTTGTCCTAGCCATGCTATTGAATGAACAAGCTAGAGGCATCAGAAATTCGCATCCTATTGACAGAAAGCACCCATATAAAAGACAAAGGCTTATTGGAGGTGACCTACAAGCTCTATTAATTTTTTCGTACAACCGCGTACAACCATCTTTGTTGCTGGTAGGATGCTTTCTAACATATCTTGCCCAATTCGTGATTAACAATAATCAATTTAACATTGGAGCTATCTAACGAATCATGAAAGATAAATGGCAAGGTATGTATCTCTCTCTTTTTTAGTCATTTACCAAAGATTAAAATTTTCCAGTTTATGCTGAAGGAAAAATTGTATTCTACAAACAGAACATGACAATAAGAGCAGTTAGGAGTATGAAGGGCTGGTAACATAGAAAGTGCCTGTAAATACCTACGAAACTCTGATCTGAACATCTGGTGCGAGAAGATTGACCAAGCCACCGTCTACTTTTCTGTAAGGACAGGGACATCCTAGCATTTCTCCTAGATAACTGCAACTTCAGCTCTCGTTCTTTTGTGAACGCACTACTTCTCATCATTTGGTTCTGATGCAGCAAAGCTAAACAAACAGAAGGACATTAGTTTGCACTATGATATGCACATGAAAGATGGAATCAACATGAGGAAAATATGTGAAAGAAACTAAAGGAGCAGAAGCCCAAGAAAAAAAATATACCACTGGGATTGGACGAAGGGATGATGTTTGTCTCGAAGCTGTAGGGATCTCTTGTGTAGGAGACATACCACATCGTTTCATCGTATCCATCATCTGAATTAGCCTTCACTTGCTGGATATGGCTGATCTTGTTCCACTCAGGACCTGTATCTCCCATGGCTATGGAACTAAGAAGCTCAAAGCTGCAGTCCACGAACAAATTCCTCATGCTTACTTGCTGCAAATAACCAGGGAGTGTTTCAATACTATAGTCCTTAAGTGTGAGGATTCTGAGTTCTGGCACATTCTCCAATACTTCCATTTTGGGGCAGAACATAATGTCAAGCTTCCGCAATTTGGGAAAATTAGATATCCTCTGCAGATCAGGGTTGTCATCCACACTGAGCTCAACAACACAAGCGAAGTTATCAAGAGACTTGAGGTTCTGGACCTCACATATCCATAGTTTCTTCAGAGCCCTTGCATGGAAGGCAAGGCCAGGAGGAAGGCACCTCAGTTTGCAACGCTCAAGTAAAAGCTCCTCCAAGACAGCCATTGCTTGCACTTGTTCCTCCCACTCCCACTCCTCCCATTCCACCATCCCCACGAAGAATAGCACTTGCAATCTTGGAAATGCTTTCGCCGTCAGGGAATGATGGCCATGATCATGGCAGAGCAGGAATTCAGACCCGACACGCTTGATGGCCGGTGCACGAACAATTTGTAGCATGAACAAATGAAGGAGCTGAGACAAAATATCAGGTAGTTGGGTGCAACAAGCCAAGTCTTTAAGAAACAGATACCTCAAGCTCGTAAGAGGCGTTCTGGATATTGGTGACATCATCCAATTTGGCAGTGAACACCCAAAGTATCCAAAAATTTCAAGATTGTATAAACAGCGAGGAGGACAGAACTCATTAAACACCTCCTCAACAAGCCGCTGCTCCATCTCAGATAAACCTTCCTCTTTGAGTAACCCATCATCTCCCAATCTACTAGTGCAGCGTAATTTTAAGAAGATAAGATGCTCCTTGGTGCAAAGTGAAGCCTTTGCAGCATAAGAGCTGGCAGAGACATTCTCAAGACAATTTAGGTCTAGATCCCTGAGCTCAGAAAGACATTCTAGCTCTTCCAAACTACACCAATTCTCTTTTGGCGAAACACCACCAGTGCCCATGTGAGCTGGAAAACCATATAATTTCCGAATACTTGACAGATTATGGAACCCCTCAGGTATTGCATTTATATGTGTGTCACCAAGGCTTAGATACCTCAGCTGTCTTAGCTTTAAAATGCTCTTAGGAAGTTGCACCAAATTTCCACATGCATTAATGTCAATGTACATCAAGAATTTCATCTTGCCAATGTCATCTGGCAATCTAGATATATCATCTGTTGCCAAGGACAAGTACCTTAGGTGCTTCAATTGGCACAGAGAGTCAACCAAAGGAAGAAAATTTGATGAATTTATACACAAGATCCGTAGACCTGAAAAGTTGCCCAATGAATCACCAGGCCTTAGCTTGATATCACTTACTGATATTAACATTCTGAGTGACATTTGCTCTTTTAGAAGATTCCACTCTACTTCATCATCAGTTTGAATGGATAATCGATAGAACTTCTGTGAATGAAGATTACTAATATCAATTTGTCTACCTTGAACCACCAATGCTTCATCTCTAGCCACATAATGAGCAAATGAGCGGACAACATCATGCATCGTGCAGTGCCATTGATCAACATACTCTATACTTGGCTCCAAAAGATTTCTCATGATCAACTCCTTGTAGTAATCTTCTCCTAATTCTTCTAATCCTTTTGTGCATTGAAGTACAAGTCCTTCACTGATCCACATACCAATAATGGTATCATAACCAAGGACAACATTTTTAGGGATAAGTGAGTAGTGCAGGAAGCATTGCTTCAAATGAGGAGAGAGATCTTCATAGCTCAGGTGCAACACATAGTTTAGGTCTTGGGGCATTCCATCAACTGACCATGTAGAATTACTCAAAATCTCTGACCAAACACCATGGTTTCTATCTCTTCTGCACAAGAGGCCCCCTAGCACTTTGATAGCGAGTGGTAAACCATCGCATTTTCCTATTATCTCCATTCCGACATCCTTTAGTGCCTCAATCTCAGGCTCATCTATCTCACTAAGGATAACCTGTAGGCAATTTAAGTCAACAAATTCAATTAGTAGTATGCATAAATGGGTCTATTTTTCTTTAACATACATGAGCTTACAAAAACTCAAATTATGTAAGAACTAGCCATCAACCCATGCACATGCATAAGCAAGTTTGTTTTTTTTTTAAAAAAAATAAGGATATAAGTTAAGCACTATAATGTTCGACTGATCGCAAAAAATGTACTATTAACTCATTCCGCATTTTATTCCATTTTCTATGGTATGCATTTCCTATTGGGTTATGCTTATTTGATTGTATTGTATCAAATAATATTAATACTGAAATACATTTGCACGAAAATTACAGGTATTGGTAAGGAATATATAGTCTATTATGAACTTTAGTGCCACTGCTCACAAGTCAGACAAAGTAACCTCTACCAACAAAAATGTCACTGCTCACTGTTCTTATTTGACTAAGAACTGCTTCTTAGTCTTCCGAGCTATGAGAGATACACAAAGAAAAACATAGTAAGCTGACAGAGAACGACGATCATAGGAATCGCTAGCCCAGTAGCATCAGAAATAAGCCTGAAACTATAAAGAGGTAGAGCGAGGAAAGCAAAGACAATGAGAGATAGTCCCGCGAAGATAACACAGAACACAAAGAAGATGGTTATAGTGGAGGTGAGTGTGAGGAAAAACAAAATGACTCAAAATAAGAACTGGACATGAAAATGTCAGGACGAGTGACACCCAAATAACAAGACCTCCCAACCAGATAATAGTAACATGTGAGGTCCTCAGGATTTTTTTTATTGAAAGTACTATTACACCTTGCCTAGTAGTTATATATAGGAGGCTCACTGTTAGCAGCAGAAAGATAAATATTAAGATCCATGGGAGTTTGCTGATCAGTAAGAGAAGCTTGATTAAGAAGATCATGTACATACTTTGCTTGGGACAAGTAGAAACCCTAAGGTGTAGAAAAACCTCAATCCTAAGAAAATACTGAAGCGGCCCTGGATCAGACATAAGAAACGGCGCAACCGAAGAAGTTTAGATCCTATGCCATTTTTCTCTAAAAAAATAGATACTAAAATGCCATGCAATTTAGATTTTTAAATATGGTGGTCTGGTGGAGTACTACAGATATAATTTTAAGCATTATTTAGTTGGTTTTCTACCAGGTTTAATTAATTAAAAATAAATCCTACCTACATACGGCAGCAGACATGCATCCTGTAAGGTGTAAGCCACAACAGCACCCATGCAGTTGATTGTCACATATTGGCTGGAAGTCTATTTGTTCTTCTGGATGCATAAATATGCACATATACATCTACTTATTCGTACTCTACCTATCTTCTCCTTTCTTTTTTGTACACAGTAAGAAAACTAAACCATCGCTTTCAATTTTAGATATGTTGGATGGTCAAGATGATTTGTACTTTCTTTATGCATTGTACAATTATATACACACCTTTTGTTGCCTTGACGTCGTGGGAAATTAATGTTCAATTTGAAAGCTCGACCCAACCTCCCATTTTCAAATAAATAATTTTTCCGTCGCACAAATCTTGGATCATGTCAGATGGATATAATAGCAAGCAAACATCCATCGACAATATCTTTGAAGAGAAGATTCCAAATGTTTTTGAACTCAACATATTCATTTGTTTGTAGGACATTTTCTATAAGAAAGATTGGCAAATAGTTATCTTCAGTAATGTTTATTTCTCAAACAAAATTAGCATATATTTATGTCTCCATTTGCAGGAATTTCTAATTCTGATTTACAATAAAATGGTTCTCATACTTTTAAGGAATTGATATTTACAAATCAATACATGACAAAAGATATTCATCGATTAATCAAATCATGTATGGAATCATTATTTAGGAAATGATCATTCTTATTGAGTTTGGAGATTTCTATATATATATATAGGGAAAAGCATATGTGAACCAAGGTTCATTTGCACCTAAAATCTGAACCATTGATGTGTTCCAAGATGTGTGCTACTAAGTGTTCATTGCTCTGTACTTGTGAAGTCTAACTATAAAGGCATAAAAAGAAGGTAGTACATAGTGTCACTGTGACTTTGACATCACTTCCTAGCCTTCCAACTTTACCCCTGAACTAGATTATAGCTCTCTTTCATGTTAAACACACAATTAATATTACTTTATTTTTCTTAGTGTTGTTTTGAGTTCTTCATCTCATGGTGTGCAACTTTGCATGGTCCCTTTTTTTTTTCAGAAATAAGCACTCGTACTTGTTTTCATACAACTACATTACATGCACCTAATAAATTGATCTTTTACTAAATGACATTTGTAAATGATACCTCTCCTGAAATCCACTGAAGGAAGGATATTACAATAGTTAGGAGGAGAAAAATTGCATCTATATCATTTTTAAATAAAAATATGACGTAATAATAAAAATTATAAGATTATGCCACGTGTACATTACTCCAATAAAGAGGTACGAGACACTCACATGATACTTTTGTGGTGCTTTTTTTATACACATTTCAAATTCAAATAAAATGTCATGCATATTTGAACTAATGACATAAAGCTAGATTTACATTTAAATGGTATACCTACAAATGTAATATAGAAAACAATATGTGCCAATTTACCAAAATAACATTTTACAAAAAGAAACTTTGATCTATATATCTACATACAATGAAATTTCAATATAGTATATCTACATTTACAAGAACGGTATATCTTCATTCACCAAAAAATTTGACAATTACAAAATGAAATATCGATTTGTTATATATACGTGTTGGCATTATTTTGTTAAACAAATTGATGTATCACAAAAGATTATAAGAACTCATGTGGAATCAAAATCACCAGAAGAAATTATTTGAGGTGAACTGCCAAAAAAAAAATCAAGTGCTAACAATGATTATTAATGATATAACTTAATCGAGTGATTTCTATCTTCTAACATTACCATGTGCATGGGTCAAGAGGGAATTTTGAGTGAGTAATGAGTTATTGTCCAACAGAACCAATGGAGTACTACTTTAAGGATATTTTGGTCTTGGTTTTTAGATCATGTACCAACCCCTGCTCTCACTATAAGGGAACAAAGCTTGGTAGGTACATTTTACCCTAGTGCCAAGTATGCATGCTGTAAGATCTGCACAGGCCTATGGATGGTCAAGATTGCTGGTGCATATGCACCTAGGTTCATAAAATCTGTAACTACACCTTTTCTGAAAAATCATCCGCAAAGAATGGTAGCACTGTTGATTCTTCATAGCGTCAGATGAAGGCATTTTGTGGTGTAAACTATGGAACACACATGGGATGATATAGTTTGCATTGCAAGTAGCAACGTGCAGAATAATGTCTTCAAGATGGACTCCAACACAAACGAAAGTCTTCATGACCCCGTAGTTTTTGTTCACCCTAAAAAGGTGCTCTTAAAATTATGGGCTACAATAGTGTGTGTGTGTGTGTGTGTGAATTCCAGATCTGCCTATCATCATTCTTATCTTAACCAACAGAGCTTTCATAAATTGCATATTTTTCCATACAATAAATCCAGTGGGAAGTCCGGACATGCATATTGTTCATCTTGACCTATAGAGCTTGCAAAACTTTTACATCAATATTTTTATTTATTTTTTTTGGAAATGAACTGAAGTCAAGCATATTATCAACTAATAGACCATGTCAAACAAAATGTCAACATCAATATGGTTTAGATATTTAGATGTAAAGGTGAACGTTGGCACTACATGTCAACATTAACACGGTTTGTGTCATAGTTATCTAGCGCCGATAGTACTTGCCATGTGTATTTCTAGAAATAATATCTTCCAGTAGTCCATTTTACCCTACAAAGGTAACTTTATTTTGTATCAGCAAATTTTAACAAGACAGATAGGACAGAGACGGGTAAATAACCAAAGAAAGAACAGTTCTTCAAATGAAAGATGGAAAAAGAGGAACCTGTTTCTTGAGCAGGGACCAAGCATCGTCAGATCCTAGTTTGTTGACATGGTGAAGGTACTTGGCTTTCACCCCCCTGGCAATTCTCTCATCTCTTGTGGTAACAATGACTCGGCTACCTCGACCACCATGACTGAATGGTATCTGGAGGAAGTCATTCCATGCTCTTTCAGTCCACATGTCATCCAGCACCAAAATGAAATTCTTCCCCTTGATGGCATTCAGAAGGCTTAGCTCAAGCACAGATCTGTCATGTGAGCTGCGGTGATCACCCCCGGTGGCAATGATGGCACTCCTCAGGAGATCAGGTTCATTGAACTTCTGCGTGACACTCAACCATATCTTCTTGTCAAACTTCTCCTGGATGGCATCATCATTGAAGATGTTCTTGGCAAGAGTAGTCTTGCCAATGCCACCAACACCCACTATGGCTAACAACAGGCTATTGTTCTCCGCATGAATGGTCTCCTTGTCATCAGTTAGCAACTTCACCAATGCTGATGTATCCTCTTCGATCTGATCACCAACCACACCTGACCGCTCCAACACCGGTGATGTTGTACGACTGATGAGCGGAGAGGCAGTCCTTCGATCTTGATAGGCTTCCAGCTTCATGAAGCTAAACTCGGCACCTGTCTTGCATATGCTATCAAGGCTCTGGTTGAGCTTCTTGATACGGCTGCCAATGTCATGCGCGAACAATGGATTCCGTAGGCAGAACAGCAAGGGGTTGCAACAGCCCAAGTCAACTGAAGAACCCTGCTCCATGGCCTTAAGCTGGCAGAGCTCTAGGATGTCAGTGGCGTCATACATGATGCCCTTCAGCTTCCTCACCCACCCGTCAACATGCTTGTCGGTGATGCGCTTCTTTTCAGCATCAGCAAGGTAGTCCTTGAGAAATTGAAGCTTTTCATCTAGCTTGGTGATCTCGTCGGAGACACCAAGTAGCATGCCCACCTCATCTTTGGCCACCTGCAAGAGCAGGTCGCTGACGTAGGACGCAAAAGCATCTAGGACAACGGCCATTTTTCTTGTTCGCAGACAAGGGCTGTAAGCTATTTGTGTGTAGTGGTGTGGAAGATAGCAACAACGTATTTATAGTGCTGCAGAAGGTAGCAAGCTATGTGAGTGCCTTCTGCTATCTGACATGGAAAAAAATTTGATCCGTTTCTTGAGACATCAGCAAAGCAAAAAAGACATGTTGTGCAAGCATCGATGTTGGATTCCATACCTTGCTTGCTTTCCAGCCAGAGAAAATCCCCATTGATGTGCACTTATTCCCCTCCCAGTGCTTTTCCTTCTGGCAGGGGCAAGAACGAAATCGAGCGGGGCCTCTGCATCATGGAAAGAAACAAACAAATCATTACCACCAGCTAATCGAATTTGTACTCGATAACCAGAATAAACCAATTACCCACCGCGGGACAGCAGCTCTTTTGCGGGTAGGATCCCAGGGCCGGGAATGCATCACCCATGGAGACCGACATAATCATGGCATCGACGCCAGAGTACAAGCCGAGGCAAAGCGCTCCAGCTGCGCATTTCGCCGAACGGGTGGGGGGGGGCCTCCCTGCAGCGAGGGCACAGCCGTCGTGACGTACGAGGGGGTTCGAGGCGCGCGAGGAGGCTACGTACCATAGGACGGCAGGCGGCGGCGCGGCGAGGACGACGGGAGGTGAGGCGGCGGAGCGGCTTGCTGGCTTCTTGCCATGGCTCGCCGCCGGCTGCTGCTGCCACTGGTTCTGCAGAACTCAAGTGAAAAGGGTTTTGTCATGAGAAAATTGACATTTTGCCATTGTCAAAACGGGGTTTCGCTCGAATGCCACTCCCAAAAGTGGTTTCGTTAAAATGCCATCCTCAAACAGGGGCAACATGTTGTAATGCCATTTTATCCATTTCTTCTCAATTTAATGATTTTTGTAGTGTTTTTTCTTGCTGAGATGACTAAAATACCCTTTATCCTATCTCATCTCTCTCTTCTTCCTCTCCGTTGCATATACACAGCACGGCTCGGTGGCGTGGCTGTGGACGGGGACGACGCCAGCTAAGCTGGGGACGGGGACGGGGAAGGGGACGACGCCGGCGTGGGTGGGGAAGGCTGCCCCCAAACCTAGCTGACGCCGCCTCCGCCATAGCCGCCACCGTCACCCCGGCCTCAGATGTAGCAGCCGCCTTGCCTTCAGAACTAGCCATCGTCGCGCCACCGTCGTGTGTGTCATCGGGATGCTTCTTGCGTGAGGGTGGGATGGCGACGGTGGAGCATGTGGACATACAGGCGGTGGCGTCGGTGCAGCTGGGGATGGGGAAGGCGGCGACACGGCTGGGGACGGGGACGGGGACAGGGATGGCGGCGGCGCCGACATGGTTGGGGCAAGTGGGGATGTTATCCTACGTCGACGCGGATGGCGTCGCCGACGCCACCATCGTCCCAGCCACGCCGCTGAGCCGAGCAGCCTTCTCCACCCACGCCGGCATCATCTCCGTCCCCAGCCGCGCCGGCGCCAGGGATCCATCTCCTCCACGCAAGTCAACTAAATGGTCACAGGGGCAATTTTGTCACACCACGGTGGAAATCATTTGCAAATCAGCTAATTTGGTCGAAATGGCAAAGTAGCAATGTGGCGTCGTTCGAAAATGGCATTATAACGAAGCCACAATCCGGAGTGGCATTCTGGCGAAACCCCATCCTGACGATGGCTAAATGTCAATTTTCTCTTTTGTCATCGGGTTGGAGAGGAGGCCTGGGGGGGTTTCGTTTAACCTGACAGGCTGACACATTTCATATGGAGTAAAACATCCTTCAGTTTAAAACAAAATATTTTTCATGAAACTTGGGGAATTTTAGTCAAATTTTACAGTATATTTTAGATAACCCCAGCTTTTGGGAGCAAGATATGTATACGGTTGCTTTGAAAAACGTATGTTCGGATAGGAATCTATAATTGATATGTTAACTTATAAGCTGTACACAAGCGACTGAATTGATGAAAATAATTTTAGTATAAAATTCTAAATAATTTTAAAATAAATTCTAAACTTGTTGTGGCTCATAATTCGTGGAGAGTGGCCTCATAATCATTTTACTCTATCCCTATATAGTCTCTGGATGCACAGTACATAAAAAAAATGATATCATAAGTGCCTATTTATTTGGTTGGAGACTAATTTGTCATAAATGTGACAAAGCTACACAGAGTATGGTCAAAATGGAGTATGATATATGGGACAAATATGCTAATAAAGTGTGGCTTGATTAAGCTCAACAAAAGGCGAGTTGTGACACACCTTAAGGTTTGGCATGTAAAACATTGACTGCCAACCAAACATTCTCAATTTGAGCTGTCCGGTTTTTATTAGAACCGGCTACAAAACAAGCTCAAGTGAGATTTGAACCCAGAACCACATGGGATGCTATGCTTCTGAAGAAATAAGTAATATATTTAATTGGTTAATGAACTGCTTTAGAGCTTTAGACCTATGATCCAACCGATTAAACCAGTTAACCATTGAACCAAGAGACTCACCAGTTCAATTGTCGGTCCGGTCTCAATAACTATAAAACAGGCCGATAATTTTGTGCTACCTACCATGCAACTAGCACCAATATAAAGGCAGGTAATTTGTGAATGTTAAAATCTGGCCTGTCTTGGGCACGTGCGAGCTGCGCAGGGCAAAAAAAAAAAATTAGGGGCCCCAAAAATTGTGTTTAATTCAATCATGAGGTGAACTCCACAGTATATACAAGAGTTGATGAGCGTAAATCTGAGGCCTTTTATTTCCAAAATATGTGGTGCACCAACAAAAAGTTTGACTGAATTGAAATGCCAGTGTTTTATATGCCTTCTTCACAGTGACAAATCAGCCTCAGTCAGACTCTTTCCTGCCAACTGAATCATCCCTCCATGATCATGGAATCTGCAAGAGGTGAGCAGCTTTAATTTGATCTGCTTAAATTTCATAGGTCAAATTATGGCATAAACCAGCTAGTGGCAACAGCAACCAGCATCCCAAGTTACAGAAATTGCCAATATAAAAGTTAAAGGCTAACTGGAACTAACTTACAAGTCAAATCTTTTGGTTTATTTTGTTTCATTTACTAACATTAAACTTTGCAGTTTATACCTTCAGAACAGAGCATTCCATGAATAGAACTTGAAAAATAAGAACACCTAAGAAGTATAAAGGGCTAGTAACAAAGGAATTGCCTTAAATAATAGCACCTATGAAACTCTGATGTGAGCATCTGGTGTGATAGGATTGACCAAAGCCACCGCTTGTTTTTCTGTAAGCATAGCGACAACCTAGCATTTCTCCTATATAGCTGCAAGTTCTGCTCTCGTTCTTCTGTGAGCATACTACTTTGCATCCTCGACTCTGATCGGGGTTCACAAAACCGTACGGTTATCGCGGTTATCACGTGCGGTAATCTTTTCAGTTTTTGAAACCACGATATAACTCGCGATAACCGTCAAACCGTGGGGTGGCGGTAACCCCACCCCAAACAGTTTGGTAAACCCTGACTCTGATGCAGCCGTTTAAATATTCGGCGGCCGTTTGAAGTCAGCAGTGTAGCAGGTGGCCGAATCGGATTCCAGCACTTGGAGGACTTGATCTTGATAGCATCTTGTTCATCTATGATGTGAGCAACGGTTGTATCCGTAGTAGCCATGGTCACATCATCCTCCCCTTCTTTACGGAAAACCGTCCTCGGTTTTTCCATATGGTGCTCGTCACATGGTCCATTTAGAATAATCTGTTTCTTCTAATCAAAACAAGACAAACTCGAGATAATATGATTAGCAATAATAGGTCTCTCTAGCTTGCATATTTTATTCACATCTACAGGAGGTTCTAAATCCAAACATATATAAATTTTATACACCAAGTATATCTGTCTATCATTATATTCGCCAAAGATATGAAAAATAACATTAGTCGGACATGGCAAATCAGTTTTATCAAATAATTTCTCCTTCAAACTATCGAGCTCACAAAAATCATCACATTGAACATAGCCCAAAGTATTTAAAAAAGATGTCAATTCACGTTCCTCTACTTCATTAGCAATGTGAATAACATGCTTAAAATCAGCACACAAAGAAACACAAGAAACAACATGTTCATTCACTTGTTGTGGCATGGATTTAAGTGAAGCATTATCACACAACTCTTCTTTATCATAAGGAACAGCAAGTAAATCAACTTGTGACAAAGGCATCTCAGCAATTGGTTCCACTAATGGTTGCTCTTCTCTAGACATGTTTAATTCATTAACGGCACACTTACCTTGATTAATTGCAACACCATTAAGATTACCTGTGGTTCTCTCTTCGGATGATGTAGGTGCATCAGTCTTCTCTTCTTCCTTCGTGAGCGATGTAGATGTCATCTCGATCATATTGCTCTTCTCCTCATGGTGAATGTTCTTAGCTCCCTGCAAAATGTCAGTAATAGGAGGCACAAGCATAGATTGTTTCTTACTTGGGTTCTTTAAAATATTGCTCTCAACACTGCAAGCAAGCATGAACAAGTGGCCTATATGATTATATGTTACGTTAATAAGCCCAGCCTGAATATCAGAATTAAGCCCTCTAAAAAATCTAGTCATTGTGTTCTCATTGCTTTCTTTTGGACCAATATAAGTGATACAAATTTTAAAGTCATGAAAGTACTCCCGCACGGTTTTATCACCCTGTTTTAGATGTTCTAATTTCTCAAGGAGAGCACGTCTATAGTATGAAAACACAAATATTTTTCTCATCAGTATTTTGCATTCATCCCATGTTTCAAGCTTATTTCCAGTATGCCACCAAAAAGATGCAGAACCGGTAAACTTATTACTAGCAGCCTTAATCATTTGAGCATTAGAAAAATCATACTTATCAAATTGTTTTTCTACTGCTAGCTCCCAATTAATGTATGCAGCGGAATCATACTTTCCATCAAAAGATGTCAAAACAGACTCTACTCTTGCAAGATTATGATCATGTACCTTATTTGCGTCATGTTGGTCACTTGCCATGTGATGTCCCAGGTGAAAATGTCCACATTGAGCACGAACAGCTCCAAACTCTTTATGTAACCCTGCCATAGTTAGTAGCAAACAAGAAACATATACAAGAATATATACGTTCCTATCAACTACTAGGTAGTGGAAGCTCACAAATCACACACACTCAAGCTTTATATCGAGCTCTTACAAATTCTTACCAATGCAAGCGGAATGGTGACATACACCAACTCAACCAAGCACCCCAATGGAGGTTGGATATATCGATGCCTTGGCAAACACCTGTCGTACGGCTGCAATCAAATCTGTGGAGCTCTGGGTAGGCTTAAGTATCTAGCAAAGGAATAGCAAATGTTAAAATCAGAGAATGCAAAGTTGAATAAAAGTTCAAACTCAGTACTGTGCTGGTCCTAGGCTAGAACGTACTAGAGACGCGAGCCTAGACACAAACGATACCACAAGATAGCACAATAAAAGCACAACTCTGATATATCAAAACAACCTCAATGATAGCAATTGATTTTCTCACCTTTTCTTTCTTTTTTCTATCTTTTTTTTACTTTCTTTTCTTTTTTTTCTTTTCGGTGCGGCTTTTGTTTTCTTTGTTTTTTTATGCACCTTTCTGCCTTTTCTCACTTTTTTTATGATTTTTTTTTACCAAAAACAGACTTAAGGACCTCAATGCAAGTTTATAGGGACTCAAATGTAAATACAAAATTTACTAGGACTCAAATGTAAAAGTCTAAACAAAAATAAAAATTATACAAAAATGGAATGCTGAGTTTATGTCGGTTCCGTTTTCCCAAACAAATCTCGAAACTGACACCAAACAAAAATTCACCAAGGTGTTTAACACGACTCACACTTTGTGATGTACGTGATTTGGAGGGAGCCGGACTGAGGAAGGAATGCCGCATGCAAGGTGGTGGGACTTGGTGAGAATTCTAAAAGAAGGAAACCGATACCGATTCCTTTTCTGCGTGGCCCCAGATAGAAACCAAACCAATCTACTATTTCTTTCCAGATCTAACTTGCATACTGCCAAAAAAAATGATTTGGTAACTTTTCTTCCTCCTCTCGTGCACGAACACAAGCACGGCCAAAACAGAAAGACAACCAACTCAGCAACCTTATATGCAACTCAACAACTCCAAAACCGACCGACAAAAACTTCTGGAAACTAGAAAAGCGAAATCCCAACAACAAGACAATTCCATTTTCCTAGGTCCCGACGACAACAAAGACACGGCGGGCGGCGACGACTGTGGTACAAAACGTGACCAGAACTCGAAACTCTAAACGAACTAGACGCTATGACCAGCAACACGATGTGACGATGCAACACAAAATTCAACAAATCAAAAACTGAAAAGAACAATGCAATGGCACAAGTATGGCTAGGTAAAGGATGCAATTCTTTTTTTATGGCAATTTTCTGGTTATGGGTAGATAAAAACTCACCGAGTAACGAAAGCTCTGATACCACCTGATGAACCCTGAGTTCCTCTCGACACTCAAGGCAGTTGTTTGGCGCGATCTTTCGGTGAGTTGAGATAACTACGATTTGGGAGAAACGTTGACGATCCAACTACAACCGTACGAGACGTTGTGTTGCGCCTTAGCGATCGATACACCTCTCCGTGGGTTGTTGATCTTGCCGATGCAGATCAACCTTATTCCTGCAAGCAAATCGAAGAAACAAGCAAGAAGAAGATAAAAGCAATTTGAATTGCAAATAGGAATGAATACACAAGATAAGTTGGGGTTTCGAATACAAGCAGACGGACGGTCTAGCCGACACGCGCGCTGCAAGGAAGTAGCAATGGCTAAACTTTCATCTAAACAAAACCCAAGAAACCCTGAAGGGGTACCTAACTATTTAAGAAGGTGGGAGGACCTCTAGGTCGTCCTCTACCTGGTTGGGGCGCACCCCACATGGGCCCCACTTGGGCCAGGGTCCCAAACGAAATTACAAGCCCATAGGCCTATTACAGGTGACGCAACACCTTCTTCCATCACGACTGTGAAGGAATTTGGCAATGAGGTTAGATCCGTTTGAAAGAGGACTCCGAGAGCTTTCCATCAAGTACTCACGGGTCAAAAACGGATGTCGTATGAATATTCGGCGGCCGTTTGAAGTTAGCAGTGTAGCAGGTGGCCAAATCGGATTCCAGCACTTGGAGGACTTGATCTTGATAGCATCTTGTTCATCTATGATGTGAGCAACGATTGTATCCGTAGTAGTCATGGTCACATCAGGTATTATAGTCTTTTTCTTCTAACCTTAGCACATGCTAAACAACCTAGAATGACAAGTATTATGTGACGGAGATAGTTCTAACAAACAAGTGGTTGCAATTCTCTATGGATTAAATTGGTCTTTTTATACGCACGAATCTCAAAGCTCAACCAATGGCTGATGCACCATGTGTCGTAGTAACACGGTACTACCGTGTGACCGTGTCCCTAACCTGTGGAGTGGGACCCCGCAACAACTCTCGCACCAAACCACGCCGCCGCCCAAACCCCCCACCTCGCCGGCGCTAATGGCGGCGCCGCCGCCGGCTCTCCGCCGTCTCCTCCTCCTCCTCCTCTTCTCGCTCCTCCTCCTCGCATCCGTAGCAGCAGCGGCGGCAGCGCCGGCGGCCGAGGAGGAGGAGTTCACGGAGGAGCTGCTCCTGCGCCCGCTCCCCGACCGCAAGGCGCTGGCCCACTTCCACTTCCGCTCCTCCGCGTCGCCCTCCGCCGCCGCCGCCGGACGCCACCACCACCTCTTCCCCAAGGCCATCGCCCAGCTGGTACGTGCACCCCCGTGTTCTCCCCCACACTGCCCCAGTAGATATAGATCTCGCGACTGGTCACTGGACCTAGGAAGTTAGGGTTCGATGGTTAGTGGTCGTTCGAATTGGGTGAATTGGCCGTGCGGAGCTGTAGAATCAGGTGATACTAGACGGGGTTAGAGCAATTGGCTCGTTTTTTATGCGCAGCAACGGTGAGGTGTAGCAACTCCTGTAGAGATTTTTCAGTTGATTCACTGTAGTTGGGACTCGACGAGGATATTCACTGCTGTATGCATAATGCTGACTATCTCAGGCACAATTTTGTATTGGATCACTTTATTTGTTTTGTAAAACAATGGCTTCATGATATTTTGTGTTCCAATCGACTCAATCTGTTTTGCCGTTTGGACTTTGGTTTTCTTGAGTCGTCTGTAAAACACATGGTGTCTAAACTGCAATATTGAAAGTGTTGGTATGAGTAGGAACCATAAATTAGCACAAAGAGAATGTGTCCCCAGAGGACCAGGATAGCAAAGCTACAAAGCAAACTTATTCTTTATATTAACAGTTTTACATTGTTTTCGATAAATGTTATGATGGATAAGTAAAAAAACACTATTTAATGCAGATTTTGTGATATATCAGCACTTCCTAATATGAAAAACAAGTCTTTGAGAACTATTTTTAGAACAATAAAACGATGAGATAATACTGAATCATGAAGATCTGTGTAGCATATGTCCCCTGTCCATAGTTGCATGTAGCTAATAATAGATACTACTATTAACTAACGTTCTGTAATGTGCTATTGTTCAGATTACTAAGATTTCCTTAATGTGCTCATGCTCTCTAAATAACCAACCTAAATATCCCTTCATATGGATTCTCTATGCTATTGGATTTATATCAAGTAAAACCATAATAATTTTGTTCCTTCTGTCACATCAGAAGAATGGATCCTCCATTCCCCATCTGTTTATTAACTTTCTACCGCCTTCAAAGAATGTCCTGGGTTACTGTTAACATTATGCTGTGCTTCCTAAACCAGGTCCAACAATTTCATATTAGTGAATTGGAGCTATCTTTCACACAAGGTCAATGGAATTATGAGCAGTGGGGTGGATATGACCCAATGTCGACCAATTATGCAAAGCCTCCTGGTGTTGAGCTGTGGGCAGCTTTTGACCTTCCTTTGGATGAGATTGATGCCACATGGAAGAACCTGACACACACACTCTCAGGCCTGTTTTGTGCATCCATTAACTTTTTAGAATCATCCACTGCCTTTTCTGCTCCTCGTTGGGGATTCAAATTGAATGAAGGGAATCTAAGATATGGTGCATTGCCTCGTGAAGCGGTGTGCACTGAGAATCTCACACCTTGGTTGAAACTTCTTCCTTGTCGTGACAAAGCTGGGATAGCTTCTTTGCTGTACAGGCCTTCAATATATAAAGGATATTACCATTCCCAAAAACTGAAATTGACATCATCTCAATCTTTTGGTATTATTATCGATCAGACATTGACAGTGGTTCTGCAGCCGGATACTTTTTGGGGTCAGCAACTACATTCTACTGATGGACAACTGCAGCCCAGCTGGTCCATGAAAGATCTGTTTAACAGGAAGTTATCAGGAAAATGCCGTGTCTCCAAATCGAGCAGAGTATTTTTAGAGATTGAGAACGATATAGTTGACAAATCTGGAACTGAAGCTTCTTGGACTAATGAACTCTTTGTGCTGTCAACTGCCCCAGACAGGGTGCTCAAGGAATTAAATAACATGGATGCCCAATCTTCTTCTCTATATGAATATGATGTTAGTAACTACAACAATGATAAGCCTTTGGATGTTGGCATAACCTGGAAACTTCCCCTCATATGGTCTTGCACCCCTGCACCGTATCATGCAAACAGATTTCTCATGGGTAGTGGAAATGAAAGAGGGTCGATTGCTCTGTCATTTAGATCCACTAATTTGCATAAGCAGTTATTTGGAAGCTCAAATGATTGCTCAATAAAAGCTGTAGTTTTCCAAGTTGTTCCATGGTATGTTAAGGTTTATTATCACAGCTTACAAATTTTCATTGATGGGAACAGTAAGGCTATTTCAGAAGTAGTTGAGAAGATTCATGTCACTCCTTCAGAAGACAAACATTTACCTGGTACTCTAGAGATGCTACTAAGATTACCTTGCAGTATGGAATCAGCTACCCTGTCGCTGGACTTTGACAAGGTTTGTTCTGCTACTTAAATTTACTTGTTTCCCCTTTGTGTTTTATTTAGTGATATATAGAACTAAATGTTGACCTTGGTCTTATATTTACATGAATGCATATTTCAGGGGTTTCTGCATATCGATGAATATCCTCCTGATGCTAATCAAGGATTTGACATCCCATCAGCTTTGGTAACATTTCCTGAGTTCAATTCTAGCCGAAGTTATCCTGAAGGTGATACATTATTTGTGTCACCTTTGCTACAAACGTTCAAGGTATATCTTGTGACTTGACTAATAGTATCAGAAGCAAAAGCAAAAAGACTACCATGTGAACTGAAATGACATGCTTCAATACTTACTGATTGCGATATTGTTATAACTTGAAGGAAGATGGCGTGGTCAAGTCATATACAGAAGTATTGCTTGTTCCCTTGACAACTCCTGATTTCAGCATGCCATACAATGTCATCACCTTCACTTGCACCGTCTTAGCACTTTATTTTGGTTCACTACTTAATGCTTTGAGACGACGAATTGGTGAAGAAGAGAGGGAATTGAAAAAAGCAGGTAATTTTACTACTTTGTTCATTTGGTTACCTTTTCACAATGCCCTGAGTTCATGACTTCTTGTGTTCTTTGATCTGGTTGGTGATATTGTTTACTTGGATGTTCGATCTGAAATATAAAATTACAAGTTAGTGCTCTATTCGCACAACAATTAGTATCATGCGGATGGACAATGGCAGTATTTTGCTTATGACTGGAACATAGATTTAGTGTTCTACTCACGTATGAAAGGGGTATGAGTTAGGATGAGTTTTTTCAGGTGTTAAGACAACTCACACTATGAATTGCACAAGCAATATTCATACTTATATGAAGATTATATTTTATGCAGGATGTACAGAGAAAAAAAACATTTGGTTTATTTGGTATTGCCTAGTAATAATTTAATGATCTTGATAAATTTAGTGTTCTCCAAGAGTTCTTTTGTTTTAGCATTTGGTGAGAGTTCATAAATTTGCTATGGAAAAGTCAGCAGATTAATATAGTTATCAATTGTTCTGTTTACTAGCTGAAGTGCTGAACCATATTACACTGCACTATCTTTCTTATTTTCGACTAGAGTGCTTCTAGGATATTTTATAGTTTGTGCTAGATAATGACTTCTCAGAATTCATATAAGATAGAAATAAATCAATGTGATGTGCTGAAGAAAACAAAGAGAAGATTCCTTCTATGCAATCGAATGTTGTCTTGATCCCTTGTCCGCTATTGAAAAACATTTGCCATCCTTATATGCCACTGGAATTCAATTTTCATCCCTTGTGGGTTGCCAGCTGTCCATGTCCTGTCACCATGCTGTTAACTGAACAAGGAAAATATCAAAACATGTCTTCCTCTGCCGCCACCTCATTCCCCACCTTGCCTCCTGCTATTGTGCCGGCTGCCGTCTGAGCCCTGTTTTCTGCCCCCAATCTCCGCCAAGTAGATCACTGCTGTCACTGAGATGGATTCTTGGATGCAACACGGCCCATCAATCTCTGCCTGTGCATTCCTTTGTCCTTTCTGCCACTCCCAAACCTTTCACTCTTACTTTGGACTGAGCAGACAGCATAAGTCAACAAAAAAGAAATCCTCAAGGCCCCTTTCTCATCCACAGTGTGGATCATGCCAAAATGACAAATTATACTGATTGTACCCAAATCAGCTGGATTCTCATCATTAGCTATGTCCTGACAAGGCAGAGATTATTCATGAAGTTCTTCACTCCTATACATGCCGGTAAACATCTAAAGAACCACAAACTCTAGGCTTGTGCAGGTTCACAAAAGTGCTGGGACATCTTGACACTACTTCCACTAGCATCAACCTCCACCCGTCCACCAAGCTGCTCCTCTGCAGCCAGGAGCAAGCTGGACTTAAGTTCAGCCTGTCAAGGGCATGTCCTCTTTATCTCTATAGCTACCTGAGGTAAGTCAACAGAAGAAGGCAACAGTACCTGTTAGAAAAAACTAACATATCCTTTTTAAGGGGTTATGGCAACTTATGTAATGGTCCTACAAGAAGTGGCATACAAGAGAAGTTCTCCTGCGGCAAATAATTGATTGAGATAACCCTTGATGGCATAGAAGGAATTTAGTTTGAAGAAAACATGGTTTAGAAATGCTTGTGTTTGGGTGATTACATTATTCGCTGCTTTAACAGATACATGCTGTTTTAAACAATACATGGTCTGGCAAATATAAAGTTGACCATTTAATTTTGTAATAAATAGGAAACAATTATAGAATTACACCTTTCTCTGGTATCTGTTCAATCAATTCTTGTCTTCTTTTGATTTGATTTGAACCATTCTCTCTGGATTCTGGAGTTACATTTCAATATAGCCATTGTGGAGCGGAGTTTCATTAGGTGTAATTTTCAGGTTGTTTTTTCTTCAGTTCTCTTGTCTCAGTTTTCAAGACTATCCTTGTGTTTTGATGTAGCGCAGGAAAAATCAGTTTATAATAGCTTGCCTGGCCAAAAATTCACAAGTATTGGTTATTATGTTGTGGCATTGAGCCATCCATCTGTTGCTTCTGGCACTGGATATCAAGAATAAAATTATTTTTGCTGCACCATTGGCCCTATCATCTGATCTTCTGTAGTTCTTGATCTTCATACACTTTCTACACATGAACAACTTTTTAGTACATACCGTTTGTTACGGCTTGTATCACTATCATCATGTTGTTGTTTTGGGTGCTGCATTACTACACTACTATTGTGGTTATAATCGACTTCTCAGATTTATAAATTTCAACTCACCAATCTCGATCTTACTACAGCCGCGAAGCGTGGGCTGATTCCTCTGTTGATAGCCAAGCTAAGGGGGAAGAAGGTCGACCCACCACCACAAGGATCTTCACCTACATCTCTGTTGTCAACAAAGCTGCTACTCAAGGTTGTATTTGTGGCGGTAGTAGCTGTCTCACTTCATTACTTGTCAAACAGTTGAGGATTGATGCCATTGTGTACAATTTTGAGCAATGTCCAAAACCACGGCTGTAGATTGTATTGATCATTTCGTTTATGTATCATATATTATATCGACTGTAGCGCTAGGTGTTGTGCTTTTGCATCCAGGCCATCATGTCTTAGCTTCATCCTGGACTGTTGAAATTGACTTGAGATGATACCATATCGTCGTTGCATTGTGTGCATCTTTTGCAGCAAGCAATGTAATACATTTTCAGAAAGTTAAGAAGGAACTGATATAGGAGTGTACATCAATGCTTCAAAAAAAAAGGTAACCAACAGTTTACACAGCATGTCACCCTACCTATACACAGCATGTCCCTCCGTCCAAAAAAAACACTTGGATGGTACATAGATTCGTTGTACTGGATTATGTACCATCTAAGTACTAGGTTGGAGTATATGATAGCAGTCTTCCTTCTATACGGCAGCACTAACTCAATTAGTAAATCTGATGGTTGCAACGGGATCTGCAGTTATTTTTTTTTTTGAATGCCATATGGCTAGCTCTATTGATGGGAAAACATAGTTATTACATCTCTAATCAAAGGTTTAGAATAAAGCCAGTAGGTTTATCGACTCGAATACAAAAACATTTCCTAACAAAAGACGGGATCCGCAGTATTTTATTGTACCCGGTGAGTACTTACGGTGCAGGCGTTGAAAGGAATCATGCAAGAAAGATTCTCCATTTGTTGAAGAGGCGGAGTTTTTCTTTTTTTCAATTTGTTGGATCGTCAACATGGTGATGGTGGTGCTTTCTGCTGTTCCCAGTCACATGAAAGTTATTTTCTTTTCTACTATTTTGAGCGGCTCATCCAAATTTGATTACCCATATCTTTATTTGTATAGCCATTAAAAAAGATTCCCACTCGATACTCTTCTTCCTCCAATAGACCATCCATATTACATACTCTATATCACATCCTCCTATATTTTAATAATAATATCTTTCAACTATCCATACATTTGTATTATTTTTTATAATGCTATATTTACAAACATTACGGAACTATCAAAATAGTAGAAGACGACTAATACCATAATCTCATTTTTATGCTCAAACATATTTATCTGTACCTATTGAAAGAAGAGAGAGTGACCGAAAAAAAAGAAAAAAGAAGGATGATAGGAGAAGTGGTAGTCGAGGTGACGACTGGGCAGAGCCGGCAGAGAAGCGGCGGTTGGTGCCAGTGACCAGGTGGCGTAGGCGGCGCGGCGGGCGGAGAAGTAGCGGTCGGAGTCGGCACCCGGGCGGTGGGACGAGGAAGCAGTGGTCGTAGGCCTCTAGTGGTCGTAGGCCTCTCTTCGCCATCCACATCTCCATCTCTGGTAAACTTCTACCTCTCCAGTCTTCACCTTCACTACTCCACCCCACACAGCATCGATTCGGCTAGATGCGGAAGCTCGGTCTCGAAGCAAGCGGTTGCAATATGGCGTGAGGAGAGAGGAACGCCAAATTTGACGTTTCTATCTCCCATGCACTAAATTTGGAGGCAGCGATGGTGTATCTGTTTGGAGCACGATTTTCTCGATGGAGGATGGGATAGCGCATCTGCTGGGAATGGTCTTAGTGGCCTTACCTATGTGGTGTTCGTTTATAATAAGCATGAATGTAAAGTTAGGGCACGGCAAAAAAGCCATTAGCTCATTATTAATTAAGTTTTAGTTATATAAATTTAAAAAATATATTTATTTGATATTTTGAAGCAATTTCTAAATAGCTCATATTAAAGTTAACATATATATTTGATGAATTATATAAGATTATCTCTATTTTTTCTCCTCTCTCCATTTCTTACCTATTCATTTAATGTATTTATCTTAAAGTATGTGAATAGCTAGCTTTTACATAAGGACCAACTGTCTTTATTTTTTAAATTATCTTTTCATATAAGTTCATAGTTGGCTTATAACCTTCTACTATCTCCATCCCAAATTAATTGTAATTCTAGATTGTTTAGCATATATTAAGGTTTGAGAAAAAAATGAGAATACCTTTTATTAAATGGTTTATATGTAAGAGTGAAGGGTAGTTAAGGGTAGGATAAAGTAGGGAGAAATTAGGATGATAATTGATTAATAAGATCATTAGTACTATGGCTGTGTTTAGTTCGTGTGCCAAAATTTTTTTAAGTATACGGACACACATTTAAAGTATTAAATGTAGACTAATAACAAAACAAATTACAGATTCCGCCTGTAAACTGCGAGACGAATTTATTAAGCCTAATTAATCCGTCGATAGCAAATGTTTATTACAGTATCACATTATCGAATCATTGTGTAATTAGGCTCAAAAGATTTGTCTCGCGATTTACATGTAAACTATACAATTGGTTTTTTTCGTCCACATTTAATGCTGCATACATATGTCTAAACTTTTGATGTGACGGAAAAGTTGGAAGTTTGAAAAAAAGTTTTAATCTAAACACGGCCTATATTATAACAATTATTTTAGAACAAATTTAAATCCTAGAGATACAATTATTATGGGATAGAGGTAGTATTAAACTAACAATTATTTTGGAACAAATTTAAATCCTAGAGATACAATTATTATGGGATAGAGGTAGTATTAAACTACTTGTTCATAACGGCGGTATCCAAATCCAAAGTAGAATACTCTCTCATGCTATCTAAATTTATTATAGTACTAGGATATGTCATCTGTTAGTTGCTATGTTTTGAAAAAGAGGTAGTAGACCGATAAAACGCTCCACAACCGACGACAAGTACTGGTAGGATAAAACGCACGGGTGAAAACACGGAAAATGGCGGAGAGGTCACGTGCCAACTCTTGGGGGAAAGGAAACCCCCCACCGCCCCACGTCTACACCGACACCACGGCCCCACCCCGCAGCGACTAACCGAACCCACTCCTCCACCTCTCTCTCTCTCTCTTCCCCGCACCTTCCCTTCCCCTGGCCACACCTGCCGCTCCAGATCTGCGCCTCCGCCTCCCCCACGTCACGACGCCGCCGCCGCCGCCGCCGCACGCGCGGCCGTCGCGTCGCTAGCTAACCTCCCCTTCTAGAGCCTTCTAGACGCTTCTCCCGATGCGGAAGAAGCCGGCGAGGGCGGTGCCGGAGTGGCTCAACAGCCCGCTCTGGTCGGCCCCGCCGCCTTCGTCTTCGTCGCCGTCGCCGCCCGTGCCCCCCGACCCCTACGGCGCCGACCTCTCCCCGCCCCCGCCTCCTCCGCCCAAGCCGCCGCCGACCGTCCCGCCCCCGTCGTACGAGCAGGCGGTGGGGTCGTCGAGGAGGGCGAGGAGCGAGGCGGGGTGGGAGGAGGAGGAGGAGGAGGATGGGGAGGTCGGGGGTGGGGCCGCGCTCCGGGCGCACCTGCTCGCCGACTTCAAGCTCGCGGTGGGTGGGTGGGTGGTGACGAGGGGAGGGGGGGTTTTGGTTTGGATGAGGGGATTGGAATTTCGCGGTGAAGTACGAATTGGGGGGTGTTTGGAATTTCCATTTTCTGATCGTGTGTTGTTGGGGTTTGCAGCTGTCGAAGAAGGTGGTGAACATGGGGGAGCTGCGGAGGCTCGCCTGCCTCGGCGTGCCGGACGGCGGCGCCGCCGTCCGCCCGCTCGTCTGGAAGGTCCCCCACCCGCATTCTCTTCTACTCTGCTGCTGCACTACTTTTTGTTGTTTCTCGGTACATATTTGTTTGGGGACTCTACCGTGAGCAAGCACGGACAGGCGGACAGCATAGAACAGTTTCATTAAAACGAACCATTTCTGCTTCCCGGCATGGTATTATGGAAGTGATTATGTTTCCAGTGTGGAGACGCTGAAAGAAAGTAATCCATTTCCATGTCTAGTGTAGATTTTGCCTCAAATAAACATCCATTATTCAATTTTCAATAATGAGCTTTAGATGGGTACTAATTTTCAAGAGTGAACTTTAGAAGGATACTGGTTTTTTACTTTTAAGTACCTTGAACTAGTTACCTATGGCATGGGAACAAAAAGGAATTGGTCTGTATTATTGGTGCGTATCCCTATCCTGTTTGCCAATTCTCATATCATGCAATCACATGACCATCTGAAATTGCTCTATTTCCCAATCTAATATGTATATTGAATAAGTATGTCTTGTAACTATAACTACATCAAGTTTAATGCCCAAGTGGTATAGGAAAATGACCACTTTCAGCATATTATTTGTTATTTATGATCTATTGATGGTTTCTAAATTAGCTTTTAACAAGAACCGTGCTATGTGGCAACCTCCATAGTTCATACACAAGAAATTTATTCTATTATATTTATAGTGTGCAGCTTCTGTTGGGATATCTGCCAACTGAGCGTGCTTTTTGGCCTCATGAGCTAGAAAAGAAGCGGAGCCAGTATAGTGCATATAAAGATGAATTTCTCCTAAATCCTGTAAGTTATGATTGCCCCTCTAAAATATTTATTAAATTATCAATGAAGATTTATTAGTCCAAAAGACTTTTTTTATTATCCTTTGTAAGGCATTTTAAGCCTTGTTTGGCTAGGCCAAAACCCTGGTCCATACCTGGAGATTTTGGCCTTGCGAAACAAGGCGTCAATTGGTTGTGTATGAATACACTGATATTTTCTTTTGACCAGTCAGAAAAAATACGGAGATTTGAGGAGTCAAAGTTGCTAAGAAAGAAAGAATTAAATAGTGACAAAATTGGCCTTCTACCAAGAGCCAAAGTTACTAATGAAGAGCACCCTTTGAGCTTTGGTAAATCTAGCTTGTGGAATCAATACTTCCAGGTATTACTTATTACCATCTTAAATAAATCTGCAAGGCTTGTTGGGAACCCATGGTTGCCAGCTGGTTCCTTCACGTGTCTTAACTCTTATGGTCCCTTCAAGACCTGAATTGTGTTTAGTTAATCTGAAACATTATAATGTATTTACTTTATGAGAAATTGTTTGGACTGCTTTTAAGTTGTTTGGTGGTTGGTATTATGAGTTTGTCTTTGCTCATGATGATCGTTATATCTAGATATGGAATCTTAATTTCTTATCCTCATTCTCATTATAATCTTTAATTCTTTCTAGTTAAATTGCTGGTAGGTACAGTTTCTTGTTATTGTTATTTTTCTGATCTGGCTGTGGGATTTTTAATAGTATTTGCATAACATGTGGTCTGTGAGGTGTGTACAGTCCCCAGTATTTCCCACCAGTCTGTGGTCATTGTTCTTTTCACTAGGTTTTGATTTTGTTCTGTTCGGTATGTTGGGGCTCATATTAAGTTCCCACATTGCATTTGTTGTCCGTCTTCAGAATTGCGTGCCTTTCACTGGACCTAGTTTTGTGTAACACCTCAGCTTCTGAGATCTACATTAGCTCATCTCTTCCTTAGGAGCAAGCCCCACATATGCATAGCACCCCACTTTGACACTTTTCTCATTGTTGCTGTATAAAATGGTTAATCTGGAGGTGCCATGGTTAAAACATTTGAGCTTATTTATTGGGCCCAACCTATCTAAACTCCTCTTGTGAGACTAATCCTACTAATACAACACCATGGGCCACACGGCCCTCTACTAATGGTCAGGGTATTACATTTTGTTTATGCACTGTTGTGAAAAGCTAAGGACAAGCACTCTCTCGATTTTTATTTACATGATGTTTTTGGGCTTTGTCATAGTCCAAGATGTAGCTTTGACCTTAATTGTAATTTTTTTATGTTAATACTAAGTGTTTGTAAGTATTTCTAATAGCAAATGTAATGATAATTTTTTTAATCACCATTCTATATATTCATAACATATGGAGGATCAATTTTAGAAAGTTTAGTTTCATGGATTTTGATTTTAGGATGCAAGTAAAAATAAATGAAGGGAATATATTGCAAGGAAAGAGGAAAGTGCACAACTGTTTAGTCCTTCTGAATTCTGTATTGAGCGATGCGAAAACATTTATGTTTTCTCGCCTATGTGTTTGATATGCACTGAACATTTATGTTCTGTATAGTCTAGATGTTAATTATTAAACATGGTTTTCTGGCATGGCAGCCACAAGATTTCATTTGTTCTTTTTCTTATATTCTGATAAATGTAAATTTACAGGAATCAGAAATCCTGGAACAGATAGATCGAGATGTGAAAAGAACACATCCTGAAATGCCGTTTTTCTCTGCCAAGGCTAACCAGGTTTCACTTCAGTGCCTTGGAATTCCTTATTTCCATTTAAACTACAAGTAATTGTCATTTGGACTAAATTTTTCAAACACATTTCAGGAATCTCTAAGGCGTGTTCTCATTATCTTCTCAAAATTAAATCCTACCATAAGATATGTGCAAGGGATGAATGAAGTTTTGGCACCTCTTTTTTATGTGTTCAAGAATGACCCTGATACAAGCAATTCAGTATGTTCTTTTACTATTTGATCACATGGTTTTAAATGGAACGTTTGAATGTTGACAAAGGAGGAATTTATCTATCATAAGGATATCTATCTGCTTTTCTCTCTCGCTCATTACATGGAACACAAAAACTTTATTGTGGATATTTTGAGTTTCTAAAATCAACACTAAATGAATTCTTTCTGGAGAATTAGAATAGCTCATTTATATGAATATTAATTCACAACTTGGTCTGTTTTATGATTGGTTCTGAAATGTGTTCATTAGCTGAACCATTCAGTTTTGGAATTACAGGCCTCAGCTGAAGCAGACACTTTCTTTTGCTTTGTTGAATTGCTCAGTGGCTTTAAAGACAACTACTGTAAGCATCTTGACAACAGCCAAGTGGGTATTCGGTCTACACTTTCAAAGTTGTCTCAGCTCTTGAAGAGACATGATGAAGAGCTATGGCGACATATGGAGATCACTACAAAGGTAGGGAATATTCAGTAATATATTTCACAGACTGCAAAATCTACTGTAGCATGCATGCTGAGAAAGTGCACATGGAATTGCACCCAGAAAAACTTGTCATGTTATTTGTTCAATAGCTAATATTGGACATCTTACTATCCGTAATGTCACCTCTTCTCACTTTTCCACAATTTAGGGTTAATTAACCTATGGCTATTTGAAGTCATGCCATTACAATTTGCCATTACAATGGCATAGATCCAATTAACCCTTCTATTTTATTAGCTTGTCCTAAGTGAAAATGCTAGTATTACCACTGGAAAGGAACAGGAACTGGTCTATTTTCTCGCATTGTACAGTTAAAGTTGCTCTTATTTCCTTGTCAATTTAACAGTATGTTACTGTTTTAGGTTTATCTTCTGAACAAGATACTAATATTGATAGCCTGCTATATTGTTTTTGTGGGTAAATTTAGTCACTCTGGTATGTCACCCACCATTGTTGATAGTCATGCATGGATATTGAAAATACAGGTATATCCACAATACTATGCATTTAGATGGATCACACTACTGTTGACAATGGAGTTCAGCTTCAATGTGTGTATTCACATTTGGGATGCTATCTTGGGTGATCCAGAAGGTCCTCCGGTATGTAACCTCTGGACTAAGCCTCCAAACTAGGTTTGCAGCCATGTTACTTGTACAACTGCAGGGGGCTAATGCTTTGCATGTTCTTGTGCAGGACACGTTGCTAAGAATATGCTGTGCCATGCTCATCCTTGTCCGGAGGCGCCTCCTAGCTGGAGACTTCACTGCCAACATCCAGCTGCTGCAGCACTATCCACCGACTAACATCGACCACCTTCTTCACATTGCTAACCGACTAAGAGGAAGCGTAGCCAGCTAGCGATACATTCTCATTTTCTGCATATCTGTACCTCGATCTTGTCTTTGTGGTGGCGTTCATCTGATCATATTGTGAACTTGGCAATGTAGGTAGCTGTGTTTATCCCATTTTGGTGTGGGTGTGGCTGGCAATGTGGTTGTAGAAGAGAGCGTTGAGGCCCTAGATGCATTTCTTGTTGTGTTTACATTAGAAACATCTCCCCTATGTGGAAAAAGCATCAGTTTTACATGTTCCGTATGAAAAATGTTGTGTTGGATGTGTTACTTGGTAGACTATACAGATGAGGGAGGACTTAGGACTAGTAGGAAAGAGCTATGGTTAGGCCACCTCATAAACAAATCAATAGTTTTCAGAGTTTTAGCCATTAGTTATAGCTGTCAATGTTTGGATAAAATTCCTACTTCCTCAGTTTTCTTGGCCTCTGTCGCATTTGTAACTGAAATTCGTACTGTAAACATTGAAAAAAAAATCGAGGTAAAATTTGTAGGTTTGGCTCGAGTTTCTTTGAAATTCGTGTTTGTATTAACTCTTTACTTGAAAGGAAATGCTAATATGACTATGAAATACTAGCAAAATACTCTATTGGTCCAATTTTATGAGGCATGTTGACTTTAATTTATGGTGTGATGGACTGATTGGTCGTGTGGGCTGTTACGAGATGCCTTGCATTCCTTCTCACATTGGTCGCCATTAGATATTTTTTTAACTTTTCTATTTTTAATTTTAAAAATAAACCCTTTCATAATTTATTTCCAAGACAAGACTTCAATTTCCATTTCAATTTATATTGGAGCTAGCGATCAATGGCAGATATTTTGAAAGGTAAATATTTCCAAAATTTATTTGCCTTTCAAAATACATTCTCATGCCTTTTGGCTAAGCCAGTCGAACTGGCGTGGGAAAACAACGCTGTTAGGTCAGTTTGATAAGCGTGGCAACGTTATTTGGTCACGTCAACCTTACTAGCGTGGTAGAACAAAAATATCATGCCTGCTAAGTGTTAGTGTTGTTTTGTCACGTCAGACCAAACGATTTAGATTCTAAAAATAAGTTTTATGAGGATTTATTTTTAAGAATAAAAAAAATAAAAAGTACAAAAAATAAAAACAAAATTCTACCCATTATGGAGAATCTCGATGACAGTGCTCTTTTATTGCTGATGAAATTCCTTTGTATAAAAGCCTTGGTAGGTGGTAGCTAGTACTATTATGAAAGCCTCGGTAGCTATTATGGAAGCTTCTTTATATAATTCCTTTGATCCCCGATGAAAGTTTAGGAGGCTACTTTTAATTTGAAAATAAGATATATTGGAATAAATATCCTAAGATGTCAAAAGGGGTATCATGGTGAACGATATTTTCAAAAGATGCATCATCAACCTTCATCAGCGGTTAAAGGCACAATACATCATCAAGATTGTACAGGTACAATGGCTACTAACTCTATATATAAAGGGGAGCAGAAGATGGACCTGCAAAGCATCACCTACAGTTTGCACAACCATCACAACACATATTCAGCCACACAAACATTAGCCACTCCGCTCTGTTTACTATACTAGCCATCCGACCATGTACTCTTAAATAAAAAACTCGATCATACGGCATAAGCCAAGACAGTCTAAATAGAGCATGAACACTAGTGTGAAATTTCTCTTCTTGAGAAGATGTCACATGGGACTTTTATGATGTTGTGAAGAAAGGAAAAAGGAAAAAAAGAAAAGAATATTGTCTGTTAATTAACAGACTTTCTACAGATACCTGAATAACCTATAATCATTAGTCAAACCGTCTCTAACTATATATATCTACTGGGCCTACATTGGTCATACATTCTCATTTCCTGCATACCTGTACCTCAATCTCATTTTCTGCATTTCGGTTCATACACTTTTATACATATAACATGTGTATTTGATCTGAATTCGTGACCCGGATATGTTTCCTACTTCAACTAGGAGTTCTACCAAATGTTATCTAAAGAGGGTTGGAGAGTTTTTATTCAGTAATGAGTACATTAATACATAGAACCTGAACAATATCTACCTGACAATTGTGATGTTCTGGTAACCACGAATGCGCAAGAAAAATATCAAATCGCAAAGAAAACAAAAAACTGCCCACATACCGTTTTCACTTTTTTTAGTGTTCAAGTACACCCCTAAGCAAAATCAATCTGGTTCACTGATCTCCCAGTTTAACAGAATCGCCTGCTATTTGTGGCCTTGAGTCGTCATCCATCTTTGCGGTCACCCAATCTTGGATCTTCAGCTAAAACTTCTGGATGTAAATTAGCCCCCTTCAAAATCCCCATGGCGTTTTCCACTTGTAATTGGCCCATATACTCATATGATCTTCTTACCATGTTACTGTGCACCTACTGAATTATCCAAGCAGTAGAAACAGTAAGCAACTAAACTAATGGTAAAACATACATGTCAACATTTTGAGAGAAAACTTCCATTTATTTGTTGACTAGACAGATTGGCTAAGATACCATAGCTATACTTTATAGTTATAAAAACTAGAACAAAAAATAAAAAAGAAATAAGAGAAACGACCTGAAACAACAGTATTAACACTTAACAGCGGCATCAACTTAGTTACCTCCAACTTGGGATGTGCTCGGGCTCGGCTCGATATTCGTCTCAGTGCTGTCGGAATCTCTTTTGTAGAAGACAAACCGTTTGTCGGTCTTGTCGTCTTCCGCATCTGTACAGGCATTCACTTGCTGGATGTGTTTGATCTTCTCCCACTCGGGGGTGCCTTTCCCCCGGGAGATCAGGGTGAGAAGATCCAAGTTGCAAGTGATCCGCAGATGACGTAGTTTTGCTGGAAGATCTCTAAGACAATCTGGGAGCCTTTCCATCTCTTGGTCATTCAACTCCATGCTCTGCAATGCTGGCAAACGCTGCAGAATATTCAGCTTTGGGCATCTGGAAACTGTCAGGCTTTCCATTTTTGGAAGATCACTGATCCTCTCTAGTTTGAAGTTGGAGGAGACGTGGAGCTGGACAACTGAACAGAAACCATCGATGGAGATGAGGTTCTTGACATTATCAACAACCAAAATTCTTAGAGACCTTGCCTGGGATGCAAGCCCAGGAGGAAGTTGATTCAGTAGGCACCAGCTGATATGCATGTTCTCTAGCTTGGGCATGGCCTCCACTTGATCTTCCCACTCCCATTCTTTCCATTTCATCATGCCATACATAACAAGTTTCTTCAACTTTGGGAAGCCAATTGCATTGCTGCTTCCCGTAGTTGTTGCTGCGTCTTCTGTTGCGCTCTCAGCCACAATCTCTCCCTCCTCGCCAGAACCAACTGACCCAGCACCAGAAAGCCGATGATAGGGCCCCCGGTTGTGGGTACTACCTCCTCCAATTGTTGTTGTTGTTGTTGTTGCTGCTGTTGCTGCAGTTGCTGATGTTGCTGCTGTTGGTGTTGTCGCTGCAACGTCGGTTTCACGAGGACCAGGTATAGATGACTGGAGGAGGAATCCATGCCCGATGTGCTTGACATTCAGAGTATGCTTTATGTAGAGGTACTCCAAACAAGGGAGCTGCCATAAAGTAGATGGAAGCTGGTTGCAGCATACTAAGTTGTCTAGCTTTAATACCCTCAGTTCCGCAAGGTTGGTAAAAATCAACCATCTCGGGAGTCGAGCTCCAAAGAATCCCTTAATATTTAGCTCCTGCAATTTGGGTGGAGGGCAAAGCTGATCAAACACCTCCTCGACTGTCTCCTTATCGACCTCGCCGTTAACCGACAGTCTACTTGTGCAGCTTAACCTCAAAGATGCAAGATTCTTCTTATCATCGATTTTGGCAAGACTAGCCATTGAGCCGGAAGCACAGTTCTCCAGACCCTCTAGTGCAAGATGCATAAGTTGGGACATATACTTTAACTCCCCAAGGCTGCACCAATCTTTTGCTATGACGCTTTCCATCATCTGACTGGGGAAACCATGCAGTGACACCATATTCTTCAGTCCACCAAACCCTTCTTCTGGAATTGACTTTATTTTTGTCTCAGAGATATTCAGATATCTTAACTTGTGCAGTTCCACAATGCTCTTGGGAAGTTTCACCAATTTTTTACAGCCTTGAAGGCAAATGTACTGTAAAAACTTCATCTCACCAATATCATTGGGCAAAGCAAGGGCATCTGTGTAACTCAGGTCCAAGTATCTCAGGTGTTTCATATGATGCAAACTATCGAGAAGGATATGTACATGTTCATTTTTGTTAACGTGTAGCGTCCTTAGCCTTGAAAGGGAGCTCAAGGTTCTGCCTGTGCTTGCCTGAACAATAACATTTCCAATTATGATTAATGTCCTTAATGAGTGTAGCTCCTTTGGAGCTTTCCATTCAATTTTCTCTTTTGCTGCCCAAGATCGTCGAATATGTCCCTCTTCGACGTCGAACGGTTCAGGATTTTCCTCTCCCTCTTCAACCACTAATGATTCACTTTCCACTACATTTTTAGCAAATGTATGGACTAAGTTATCCATCTTGTAATGACCTTGGCCATCATACTCGTCAACAGGTTCCAAAAGATGTCTCGCAACTAATTCTTTGTAGTATTTCATCCCCAAGACTTCTGGCAACTCTGAAGTAGCATCAGCCCCAACAAATCCTTCAGCAATCCACATCTGGACAACTTTGTCACAGCTGATCACATGATCCTTGGGAATAAGCGAGTGGTATAAGAAGCACTGCTTCAAAGGAAATGACAAAACCGCATAGCACAGGTGGAATATGCTGTCAATATCTCCATGATCTGTTGGCTCTGCAGCGTATTCCAAAAGCATCTCCCATTCATTTGCGCTTCGGTTTCTGTTTACCAAGAGCCGCCCTGCCAGCATGATTATTGCTAGTGGTGAACCATTGCATTTTGCTATGATCTTCTCTTTAACTTCCTTTAATCTCTCGTTCTCATCTTGGCCGGTCTTCCTCATAATCACCTGCAACAATTAAATCCCAAATTATTAATAAGCTCTTAATCTATACTATACCACTGGGTTTCATTTCATCCATAAAATAAATGTGATATTAATTATGAGAAATCTCAAATGGACTAACGGTGTTACAGTATTTGGTAGTTTGATATTTTAGGTTAGATTTGATTTGTATCAGATTCCTTACTTATCTCCATTAATACGACCAGTGGCGGACCCAAAAAAAAAAGGTTGGGTGTGCACATACAGTTGTCGAGGTAGCATATTGATCTTGGATCGCGAATGATGTAGCTTTTGATCTTGGTGATAATATGATCAAAACTGGCTACGGAACTGATTCATACGGATTTGGGGATAAACGGGGGTTGCTAATGCGCGCATACGCGCTAGCAATTTAGCTGGCGCGCGCCCCACTTGGCCCGCCTCACCGTGCGTTTTTTTATGTTCGTACTTTTTTTCCCGATTTTGGTGCCTCCGGACCTTTTTTTCTTTTTTTAGCGCTGTTTCTTTCTGATAACCTCTTTACAAATGTAGAATTGGAAGTTTTTAATTTTGACTTGAAAGTTTTTAAATTTGAGTTGAAAGTTTTTAAATTTAAGCTGAAAGTTTTCAAATCTGGGTTGAAAGTTTTAAATTTGAGTTGAAAGTTTTTCAAATTTGAGATGAAAAGTTGAAAGTTTTCAAAATTTAACTTCAAAAATTTAAATTTCGAGTTGAAAATTTTCAAATCTGGGTTGAAAGTTTCAAATATCGACTTGAAAGTTTTTAAATTTTAAGTTCATAGTTTCAAACTTGAGTTGAAAATTTTTAACTTTTGACTTGAATTTTTTAATATTTGACTTGAAAGTTTTAAAAAAATTGAACTGAAAGTTTTGAATTTGCAAACTTCAGGAGGGCATCGGTTTCGAGTTGTTTTCGTGGAATTTTTAGCTTGCTTCATGTATATGACTTATATATGGTTTCTATTTGTATGTGATACTATTGTATGCTGATGTGAGTCAAGTTGGCGTGAACTTGTACTCAAATATAAAGTTTCTTTGTTGTTCATGTGTAGGTGTAACTTGAGGCCGTGGGAGTATAGCCGGTGATGGATCGGGATTAGACTTGGGAGAAGTTGAGGTTCAGACATTCAAGGATATCACGTGGGATGCTCTTGGTAGAGAACAATGCATGTGGAGGTGAATGTTTCCATGATGTTGTGTGCGTATGGAAAGAGGAGTTAAATTTGGATTGGAGTCCAAGTTTAGAAAGATTGAAGTATGAAGTTGTATGGGATATTGTTTCCTTGGTTTGGTGGGTTTCCTATGTGATTAGGAGTTCTAGTTCTAGTTGGATTTATGGCTAGGGGTAGCCATGTTGTGGGTATAAATAGATGAGTGATTGAGGCTAGAAGGGCATCGACTTTTGAGAAAAAAAAAGTTAGGGTTTTGTCACGCCCTAAAAATTGCCTAATTTTAAAACGCATTGTTTAAGTCATTTTTAGAAATTAAATTAAAAGCCTACAAGCTAAACCCTAATAATCTAGGAAAATTTTTAACATAAAAACAAGCTAGATAAAATTTTATTAAATACTTTGCTTGTTTCTCTATTTTCTAGAATTTTCTGGGAATTATTTGAGCAAGGGAAGTATTTTTAATAATTGGAACAACATTTCACAAATTATTTTAATTAAAAAGTTCCAAAATCCCTTCCTTAAGTTGTTGGGCCGTTTTTGGCCCAACTCTCTCTCTCTCTCGCCCGCGGCCAAGTCGGCCCAGCCGGCCCAGCCAACCCGCCAGCCGCCCCCTCCACTCGGGAGACCGACATGTGGTCCCCACATGTCGGACGCTTCCCTAACCTCTAGCAGCCGGCCGGCCGAGCCCACCCATGCCGCCCGAGCCGCCCCCTTTCCCCTCCGAATCCGCCCCAATCTCTCCTCTTTTCTTCCGGATTTTTGAGGGGTTTTTATCCTCTCATCCTCCTCTATCTTTACCCCCAAAAATCGGAGCAAATCGTTGAGTATTTTATCCGAATCGAACTCGTTTTTGAGTTTATCTCCAAAACCGAGTTTTTGATTTCCCGAGCTGATTTCTTGCGGGAGGAGTCCGATCTCTTCAATCCAAGGCTATAAATAGGACCCCCTAGTCCTCCTCTTTCGTTTGCCCCAACTCCCAAGCCTTCCCGTGCTCCGTAGCCTCGTCGCCACCGCCGCTTTGCTCGCCGTCGCCGCCGGCTATCTCCGGCGCCGTCGCGCAGCCGCGTTCGCCATCGCCGTCGGTCGCCGTCACTGTCGTGGGCTTCGCCAAGCCGTGGGGAAGCTCGGCCACCCTCTCCTTTCCGCCGCCGACCGCCGTAGCTCGCCGCCGGCGAGGTCCGAGCCGCCGCCGCCATCTCCTCTCGTCGCCGGCCGTCGTCGGTGGTCGTTAGACGTGTTGGTGAGCACCGTTGCGTTCGTCTTGTCGTCCTCTACGTGTACATGTGCTCCAAAACCGCAGCCGACCATCCAATCTCCGGCGAGGTTGCCAACCTGGGCCGGCCATTGATGATGTCATCATGACGTCATCATCGGTTTTTCTTTTTCCCTTTTTCTAATAGATTAAATCTTCGAAAAATCATAACTAAATAACCGTAGATCCGTTTCAGGTGGTTCAAGTTGCTAAAGTTTTCTAAAATCAAGATCTACATGTTAAAAATATCCACATGTACTGTTTATGCTTGTTTTTGTACTGTTTTATTGATTTTAGCATTTTTTCTTTAGTTTCCGACGTTCCGGAGGAGAGCGTTTCTGTCGAGGAAGGTTCCGAAGCGTTTGCGGAAGCCCAAGGCAAGTCACACAGATCCCAAACAACCCTTTGAGCATGTTGAACCCATTTAAAGCTATTATTTTATTTCAACTATGCATTGTTTTCGAATATCATCGGGTGGTGAACCTTTTCCCGTATAAGTAATGGCCGAAGATGACTTTATTTTCCTATGGGTTATAATTTGATTAGCATGAACCTTATATATTGGATTGGTTCAGCTAAATGCTATATGTATGTTTGCTTAGCCATGCTTAGACACATTAGCTAACTCAAGGGGTTAATTATAAACTATATTATATTATTATTATTAATTATGGTTATATTCAATGGTAGCTCACGATGGTTAATTGTGTGAGGTTAATTAATGGATAATTAAAACCTAGTTAAGGTGGATTGTGAGCATATGGTTTTGATGGTTGTGCTCATGACAATTAAGGACCGGTTCGCGAGCTACTGTTGTGAAACATTTACCGTGCCAACCACAAGCCAGCGTGGGCAACGGCTTTATCTTTTGTATAGCATGATTCATTATAGTGTGCCAGACTGTGAAGCGGCGAGAAGTCCGTGGGGGTCGCTGCATTGCCTCTGATTTTGAGGGGGAGATTATGATCCAGGAACGGTGCACTGTGGTGAGTTGTGTTGTGCGAGGGGTAATGTCACAGTTCCTTTCCGAGGTACCGTGGTGGTACTAAGGCGCATGGTAACATGTTGTGGGATTGTGTCTTGTGGGTACAGTGGTACACCTCTGATCAGAGTTTAATCTATTCGAATAGCCGTACCCGCGGTTATGGGTGAGTTGAGCAATGTTTTTCGTGATTAGTCTCATATTACACATTAAATGGTAACTGTGTTAATTAATGTGACTCCTGGTTTGGAATGGTATATTCCTGGTTTGGAGGTTTGGTATGTTCAACCGGGGTTGGTTGTTCATATGAGGTTGGGCCTATACAACACGGGTGTGTTGTATGGTGTTTATTTAATATTGACTAATTACTTAACTGTTTTACTATTCTCTTAAATATTAAATGCTGTTTATGCAAATGAGCTATATTATGCCATCCTTTGTTATCCTGTGCACTTGCATATTTGCTGTGTGGCTTGTTGAGTATGTCATATGCTCATTCTTGCAATATTCATTCATCAGAAGAGGAGTATCTCAGCGAAGGTGATGATCTGGAGGATTAAGCTTGTTCTTGGTTGACATGCCTGTGGAGTGGAGTCGCCATAGTTGTTCCGTAGTTTGTTTTAGTTTTGTTTTCCGCTGCGTAGAATGTTATTCTTTGAGAGGAACTATCCACCTCTGTAATGATTTATTATTTACGAATATTAAATAGTTATTTATTTGTACTCTATTATCAATTTGTTATTGTGTGCCTCGGTTGATTCCTGGACGAGGGTTTAACACGCATGTAAGCGTTCGGAATTTTGGATAGAAATTCCGGGCGTGACAGGTTTGCTTCAAGGTTTCAATACTAGTTCGTGAGTTGAGAAATGAGTGCTTTAGATGCACTTTGCAAATTCAACTCCTCTTTCCATACGCACACAACAAATTTAGACGAAACTATTGATTGATCTACTTTCAAGAGTTTCATCGATACATGTTTTTCTGTATCCCGAGAGTTTGACCAAAGGTAGAGGAGCGGTCTGACCAGAGGCTTGGAGGTGGCAGGGCAATAGTTTGACCGGCAGTGACACCGTTGTCTAACAGGCGGTTAGATAGCGGTCTGACCGGCATTTATCTAGTGGTTGGACCAACGCTTCTTCAGGTATTCTGATGAGGACATCCTCCACTATTACCCACTGGCAAAGACGCAAAAGTCGGGCGGCGACCGTGTGAGCCTCTGAATGATCCCACCTTGCTTAGCTTGGGAGGAGGAAGCCACCTTAAAAGGGAGTGCCACCCTTCCCCTATTGGACTAGTCTTTTAGGGAGATTAGGCCTTTCCCCGAGTGGGTGTGCCTAAGAACTGTTGGGGTCTAGGCAACTTTAATTTGTTGGGCCTCGGCCAACCCTACCTGGGCCGAATTGTTATCATATTAGTGGTTAATCTTTTAGTTCCGCAAAAAGATTTGGTTTTTGGTGTTGTTACCATTCACCCTTCTCTAATAGGCTTGGTTCCTGGTGTGCGATCCTACAAGTGGTATCAGAGCCACGTTTACTCTTTGTGGTCTTTACCGATCTTTGAGTTTTTGCGATGGCTGAAAAATTATCGACCAAGGTCCATGTTGTTGACGGAATATATTTTCAAGTTTGTAAACAAAAGATGGAACCCTTAATCTCGTCATCAAGTTCTTATTTGGATTCTTTGTTGATCTTTGCTTTGCCCACTTCAATGGTCATGTCCAATGGTCATCTTGAGAGAATCTCGGAGGAGGACGTGGTTTTGCTTATTAACAAATTATCTCTAGCTTTGAATAATGAGAGGAACATCAAAAGAGGTAATCAAGTGTGCTCAAGTGATATTGATTCGGAAAGCGATGACAATGACAAGGGAAAGATCTCTGGTGTGCGCTTTATGGCTCGTGGGGAATCAGATTCAGACCGCAAAGGACCCCCCACCCAAAGAGAATTTCTTGAAAATAACTTTTTCTCTAAATTCCAATAATAAAAAAAATACGAGAAAAACTTAAACAACATGATTTCATTGTTGATTCTCTTAATGCTGAAGTCGCTAGATTAAAATCTCTTCTTCCTGATGATGATAATTGCAAAAGTTATGAGGTTTTATTTTCTGAAATTTCACGAATAAGAGATGTTAATACTACACATTGCTTAAGATTGGAATCTAAGATTGACAAAAGGAAAAAGCTCGAGTCTTCTTTTGCTCTTAGATTTGCTTTGCATGCTCGAATTGTTAATGAATTAGTTTTGATAAGGAAAGTTTTGAATAAATATAAGCTTTTTATGTAAGTTCTTTGTTCAATGTTTTTGAGTGCAAAAATGATTAAACAACATAAGGATGTTTTGGATTCTCAAAATTGCTCGAAGTGTGTTTGGAATGAGATGAAATTAAAAGATGCACTTTCCCTTATAGAGCTTTTGTAAAACAATTTGAAAACTCATGAAGTGCTTTCTCGTTCTAAGTGTCACAACAACAAAGGTGTTTTGGTTGGTTGCGAAAATTGTGCAAATTTGACAAAAAAAGTTTCTTATTTGAAAAAAAAACTTTGGAAATGTATTCTGCTGGTAAAAAGAAATTTCATATGATTTTGATAAATCAAAAGTGCACACCTATAATCATTGTGTAGGTTTTGAAACTAATGTCTATTATACATGTCACCAACCTGCAATTTTGAGTATAACTTAAAAAGGTGAAACTTTGAAAAAAACTGAACTAGAGAAAACAGTTTTTAAATCTGTTAGTATTTTGCCATCTCTTTCTTCAACAATACAAGAAACAAAATCTTTAATTGCAGAACTATTAATTTCTACACCATCAACTTCAAAAAATTTTTTTGCATGAGAAGTACACTTGTTCTTTTTATGGAAAAGATGGATATTTGGATGGTTTTTATTTTGGACTTGCTTGTAATAGAAAAAATAAAGAGAAATTGCTTTTATGCGAAACAAAGGTGGCAAAAATCGAGTTTTGGTTAGAGGAGTATGGTCAGACTAACATGGGCGAGTCCGTCAGATCAACCAGGCTTGATCAGACTGGCTAGAGAACAGTGATCAGACCAGTCTCGGCAAATTATATGCAAAATTCAAATCAGACTTTTGTGAAACATTAAGATAAGTTTTCAGGTAATTCTGGTTTTGATTTTATTCGTGCATATGTACCTACTGGTTCTATTGGTCATGTGACTCGGTGTTGGATTTCAAAATTTCTTGTTTCTAACCCCAACATGGAGGCCTCGGTATGTTCTTGTTTGGAGGTATTTCGGCGACAAACTCCCCATGTGCATTCAATGTTGATACGGCAATTGCTTTTCTGGGTAACATCAATATACTTTTGAATTGATATAATTTTTTTCTACTTCCTCGTTTATTAGTTTTTTCATATGCTTGTGTTTGAGGTAGTAGTTTTGATCATATGTCGATTTTGTGATTTGATTGCAAATATAGGGGAAGAGATTCAAGAAATTCTTTCTTTTGAAAAGGGGAGTGTTTTTCTTGCCATTGCGTTTGTATATCTGTCTTCATGTATATCTAGATTGCTTCGTGTATATGACTTTTAGATGGTTTCTATTCGTATGTGATACTATTGCGTACTGAAGTGAGTCAAATTGGTGCGAACTTGTACTCAGATATGGAGTTTCTTTGTTGTTTATGTGCATGTGTTACTTGAGGCCGTGAGAGTATAGCCGGTGATGGGTCGAGACTAAGCTTGGGAGAAGTTGAGGTCTATGTAGTCAAGGATATCCTGAGGGATGCTCAGGCTAGAGAACAATGCATGTGAAGGTGAAGGGTCCTTCGCTTGGTGTCTTCTTCGCCACGGGCATAGCCGTCAATGATGTGGAACAGATGTTTGACAATCTGGGGCTCTTTTCTTGTGATTTTTCTTGTCAGCTTGCTCGGGCGAAGGCCTGCTGAAGCGGCATTGATCACAGAGGCCTCAGTGATATCCTGCATTCCTGCACTTGGCACCTTGCTTGTGAAAAACGCCTAGCGTACTCACTTGTAGATTCGCCTAGCTTCTGCCGAATGCCGAACAAATCTGGTTTGGTTTTTGGCTCCTTATACGTCCCTCTGAAGTTCATGATAGAAACATTACGCAATTGTTCCCATAAGTAAATGCTGCTTGGAGGCATGTTAAAATACCAGGACCAGGCGATCCCGTCCAAAGCAAGATGTATTACCTTAGACATGGTAGTTTCATCGCCGTGGACAGCTTCGATTGCTGACTCATAGATCGACAAGAACTTGCTTGGATTGGTTTCACCCGAGTACCTTGTCACTGGTGAGTACTTGAACTGGGAGGGGGGGGGGGATTCAGATGATTTCTCGCAGCGCCATACCTTGTCACCCTCTGCCCGCAGCGCCATGCCTTGCTGGTACTGCGATGTGAGGCCTAGGTATGGTTGTGCAAATGGCGAAGCTAATGTCATGTGACTGAGCCACGATGTTTGGTTGAACAACTTTTCGAATACTGCCAAGACCAGCCATTGTTCCTTGAGGATTTGCCGAAGGCGCTTGGGTTGGTGCGCACATGTGGAGCTGGTTCGTCGGCTGCCATGCCATAGCGTCCTGGCTCGATCCCCCATTGCCTTGGACCGAAGGGGTTACACTTGGAATCATGTGGGGTTGACTCAATTGTTGAAGGAAAGCTTGGAATTGTGCCTGGAGAGCCGAAGCGGCCTCCACCAAAGCTTGAGGTGTTGGAGCCTGAATTGGCCTCATCGGCGGGATCGGGGCGACCGTCGGACGTACATGCAACATTGTTGCTTTAGGGATATGTCGCACTTGTACGGTCGAAGCAGCTGCACCACGTGAGTCGAAGCTTGAATCGCTTGCACGGTCGCAGTCGGCTGCACCACATGAGACGAAGCTTGGATCGATTGAACAGTCGAACTTGGTTGCGTTGCTTGAGTCGAAGCTTGAATCGCTAGAGTGGTTGCCGCGGGTATCGAAGATGGAGTGGGTCTTGCTAAAGAGGTTGACCAGGTTTGCAGGGCTGCTTCGTATACTTGATGCTGCTCTTGCATTTGGCGAAGCGTGTCCTGCAACCTCATCATGTCTTGTCGCATAGCTTCCATCTCTACCCTTTGTGCCGTTGACGCTTCGGCTTTTGTGCTTGCTTGAGTCGTAGCTTGCGTTGTAGCTTGAGTTGAGGTGGGAATGATCGAAGTTGCTGCTTGGGTTATGGCGATCGTCTGCATGACTTCGCCCCCTTCTTGCCCTCCGCCCCCTTCGCCTCTTGGTTGCTCTAACACTATTTCGGACCTCGCAAACTCTTCGCCGGCCATCTCCGCTTCGCCTTCGCCCTCCTTTCCCTTAGGCACAACTCTCTCTCTCATCGACTTCTTGGGTGGCATCAGTGGTTTCGCCCTGGGTTCTCTACGGACGGCACCAGCTGTTGTCGAAAGACAACCGTGCACGCCGAAGGACGTGGTTTACACAGTGGAATAGTAAAGCAATATGTATTAATGATGGAATTTTTGGGGATCCTCCCATTACATGCCCCTAGGAGGGCCATTTATAGCTTTAGTATAAGCTCATGCACCCTAGAGTTAATGAGTACATGGGAATTTACATGGGTCCTCTTATGATGGGAACATTTATAAGGGTAACTAGTGTCTATTTTGCTCTAGGCCCCTTAATGGGCCCAAATATGGTGAATAACCTGTTTAGGCCTTACAATGCTTTGGCCCTATGGTGAAGGCGTCAAGACCCTTGGCGAATCCTTCCTGCTTCGCCTGATGTTCGCCCAATGTGAGAACTTGATTCTTCGGTTGGTGCTTCACCCTGGTCCATGTAATTTCGGTAGCCTCGGTTGAAGGCCCTTGTGATATACCTCAAACATTGGGTTTGTGGCTAGGGGTGGCTAGGGGCTGCCACGTTGTGGGTATAAATAAATGAGGGGTTGAGGCTAGAAGGTATTGACTTTTTGGAGGGAAAAGTTAGGTTTCGCTTAGAGGTTTTAATACTAGTTTATGAGTTGAGAGAGGAGTGATTTAGATACACTTTGTAAATACATATTGATGCAATAAAGTTGATCTACATTCAATAGTTTCGTTGATACGTGCTTTCTGGATCTTGACGGTTTAACTGAAGACAGAGGAGTGGTCTGACTGGAGGCTTGGTGGCGGTCTAACCGATGACAGGGCAGCGATCTGACTGGCGGTGACACGGTGGTCTAACCGACGGTTAGGTGGCGGTCTGACCAATACATCTTCATCAGGTATTTGAGGGTAATCTTTAAGTTCCGTAAAAAGATTTGGTTTTTGATGTTCCTACCATTCATCTTTCTCTGGTAGGTTTGGTTTTGTTGTGCGATCCTACATACTTGTCACTGTGAATTCATAGCTCAATGATGTTTTAAGTATCACTGTTAATTAGTTCTTGTAATGAGCCGGAATGATCGTAATAAGAATAGACAGTGATACCCCAAGTATCACCGCTGGTACACGTTATTCCTGTGAACCGGTTTTTATGATCGTAACAAGAATCGAAAGTGTATGAACGAGGAGTGATGATAAGACATGTATTGATGAGAAAACTGAGGAAATGTTTTCTTGGGCATCAATTTTTATGTTACTAACCTGAAGAAACAGCGACCTCGAATCTTCAGAACTTAGTTTGCTGACTTCGTGGACTATAGCAGCTTGCATCTCTTGAGCGACTTGTTTAGATCTTGTTGTGATGAGAATTCGGCTGCCTGCTTGAGCGTTGCCCACAAATGATTTTTTAAAAATGTCCACCACCCCTCTAGCTTCCCACACATCATCCATCACAAGGAAAACTTTCTTTCTTCTTACTTCACTGGAAATGATGTGCTCCAATACTGCGCTATCACGAATACCTTCATGCTCACACCCAAGTCCTTGTATAACCTGTTGCAATAGACTAATACTATTATTACCTTTACTAATAGTGATCCACAGTCTCTTGTCAAACTTCCCTTGGATCATATCGTTAGTGAAAATTTCTCTGGCAAGGGTGGTCTTGCCAATTCCACCCATACCCACAATTGCGATGACTTCAACGTTTTGTCCAGTCATCCCTGGGCCTGAGATGCCTTTCCCTGTAAGCTTATCAACCAGCATTCTAGTCTCCTGCACCCTCCCCACAACATTAGTTCGGGGAATCGGAACATGGCAGGCAGTAGTAGCATCCACGTTGTGATCTTCATCAGATCTGACATGAGTGAGGTCGAAAATTTTCCCCTCCTCCAGAATTGCATCCGCCTTCTGGCGTAGTGCCTTAACTTGCCGCCTGATTTTGTGGCCCTGAATCGGTAGGCATAAGGCCACCGGGCTGTTCCTGGAGCGACCACCATGTTCTTCACCCTCCATTTCGTCACAGACATCAAGAATATCAGCGGCCTCGTACATGACATCCTTCAGCTTCCTCGACCAAGACCTCACTGTATCATCTTTCAGGGCACTGTAGTCAGCATCTGCAAGTGTCTTCTTGATGGAGCTCACCGTGCCCTTTAACCAGTTGATCTCATCAGAAACACCAAGCTGCATGAACGCCTCAATACTGAATTTCCCCATAGTCCGTGCCTGCAACAAACTAGGAAATATCATGCATTGCCAACTAGCTAGCTAAGCTAGCTACTTTATCTAGCAAGTAAGTTCTTGAGCTAAAAGTAGCGTAGCCGATACACACAACAGACCATTACTGACCCAACCAAATGATTCGCCGAGTAAACTGATATTTACTTATTTCAATACGAACAACCCGGAGGTCAGAAAATGATTTTCTGATAATTAATCTAATATAGTATGATATAGGTATACATTGCATCTGTAAATATATAGTATTTCCAGATCTGGATGTACATTATGTGAAAATCTTCCAGTGAAGAAACTGTATCTTCTTAAGTTTGAGCTCTGTTGATCCATCATTCCATCTAACAATATATATACAATTGATTCGCTTGGTCAGGTAGTAAGTTTAACGAACTAAGCTGACCAAATTTTGCCCGAGGGCTCAGTGAAGTGAGCAAGCATCGGCCCAAATTAAATGTGTTCGAGAGCTCAAACAAATAGATCAAATAACAAGTGTAAAAATTAAGTAGATCTTTCATTGAACGAAAACATATATTCTTCGTAGAAAATGATGAGGGAGATATATCGCCCAAAAAACAAAATTCTAGAACCGCAGAAACATGCATCCTCGTATCAGGAAGAAACCACACTGGAAGTGGAAAACAAATCAAAAGTCCGACACAAATACCTGAGTGGATGCGTCGTCCTTTGGTGTGATCGATTTGGGGAAATTTGGGCGTGTGGCTAGCTAGGACACTGTCCGGGATTGGGAGTTTTGGGAGTGCAGACTGCGGGGGCTGTGTGCTGTATATGTAGTTCGAAAGATACGATAGAGTGGGTTATAGCCTGCATATATGCTGATTCGTCCGTCCACAATTATAAGGGATATCTTTCAACTGAAATTTGGTGCATACAATGTTCCTCTGTTAATGTATGGAGGTAGTATTTTCTATTTGTAATGAGATAAGAAGAAGAGGAAGATTGATTGCCAGCTAGATGTTTTTTTTTACTACTTTTACATGTGCTTTAGAAATACAATCTTTTATTACTAGTATATAATACGATGAATTGTTTCCCACTAACTTACATTTATTGTTTTTTATCTACTCATGTGGCCATCATCGATTAAATGAATTAGGTTAATGATATACGACAGGGTCTTTAAAATTGCGAGTTGGTGTCAGTTAACTTACTGATCTTGTAAAATGCATATGTAGAACCATAGTCTTACCACAACAGGTTCAAACCTCGTCTGATCATGTAGGATTGCCGACATGACGCTCCATGCTAGCATACATTTTGCATTTGGCCCCCTCGGTTGGAGGACAGGTTGCACAAAAGGACGGGTTGTCGGCTCCATCCACATCCAGCGAAGCCAGTGCTTGAGCACGGCGGATCCAGCGATTGCTCAAGCAACGTGGAGACGGCCTCGCCTTCACCTAGGATTGGCACCGTTGATGCTCAGGGGCAGCGCTGGCGGTCGAGCACCATGGATCCGGCCGTGTGGATGTCCTCCTCTCCTGTCCTATAGATAATAGATCTGGTAGCTGGAGCTCAGGTCGTGAGATCCGCCGACGACAGAGCTCCAGGTCCTCATCAATGCACGTGCATCTCTTATGTGCATACCTCCGTCGGCTTCACCTCATGCATACCTCTTTCATCAGCTTCACCACCAGTGTTCCTGCCCGCTCTCTTGTGCAACCCGTCCTCCCGCCGAGGGGGCCGAATGCAATATGTGTGACGATGGTGTGATCCCAATCGTCTAATTAGGCTCCATATAGATTCGATGTCATAAAAAAAATCACCGTGGTTTGGACGGAAGAGGATATCATAAAAAATCGTCTGAGAAATGAGGGACTAATAGTGAACGTTTTCGTGAGCAAGTAACTAAAATCCAACCTTGGCTATAGTTATGAATCAAATGTGAACTTATCTTGATGATAAAAGAATATTCATTTGGGAGAAATCGATCGAAACTAATTTTGCATATCTTGGTGTATCCGGTGACATGTTCCCGTAGTCTTGAGTTTTTTTTAAGCATTTTTACGGTCCTTGAGAAGATACTATGAGGTACCACTTTTTCTATTGTAATTTTGGTACCTCTTGGTACTTAGTACCTCTTGGTACTTAGATACTATGAGGTACCAAATTTTACGCTAAATTTTTGGTACCTCGTGATAGCTTCTTAAGGACCATGAAAATGCCCCTTTTTTTATAGTGCATAGATTCACGAGGTCCTACATTGAAAGAAGATTTGAAAGTGATCTTTAAAGTTTACAAATAAAGCAGTAACGTGCCAAGATTTGGAGAGAAGGGAAACGGCTGAAATTTGTGCTAGCTGTCATCATCGTTCTAGAGCTTTCTCAAATGCCATTTGCTGCAAGATTATTTAAAGATCAACTTGGGTTATGCATGCATCAAAGTTGTCAGCAAATAGTCTAGGCTGTCTCTTTCTTTAGCTTTTTGCATTTGTTTTGTGGTGCGGTATGCCCCATAAATCACGCTGAGAGCTGGATGTTGTTGTTGCTTTGCACTCGGAACAACCGGTCCGCATTCTCCAGGCAAGACAATGATATCTGTGGAAACGTACTAGTATTAGACCCAACTCCCCTAATGCACACAATATTAATTCAACATGTTGATTTAATACAACTAATCTCTCACTGTGTTCCGGGTGTTGAGTAGAAACATTCACTAGTAGAAAAAACCTGCCTTTATTGGTGCCCGTTCTAAACCTCTCATAGGTGTCAGTTTTCAAACTTGTACCAATTTAGCGACACTAATGGAGGTAATCATTGGTACCGGTATGGTGCCGGTTTTTATTTAGAACCGACACTTGTAGGGTGAATCCATTTTTTACATTTGCAGATGTGAAAAAATCAAAAAAAATATTTCACATTTTATTAGGCACCTACCACATCACATTTCACTTATCACAAGTCACATAATTCTTTTCAACCCATATTCATGAAATGTGCCAAGCTTGATTCAAACCCAAGACCTCTGTCTCTATTCGAAGCATCTCTTATGTGCACACTTCCGTCGGCTTCACCACAGTGCACACCTCCTTCATCAGCTTCCCTGACAGTGTTCCTGCCCGCCCTCTTGTGTAACCCGTCCCGCCGAGGGAGCCAAATGCAATATGTGTGGCGATGGTGTCATCCCAATCGTCTAAGTAGGCTCCATGTAGATTAGATGTCATAATACATCATCACCCTGGTTTGGACGGAAAAGGATGAAACATGAATTATTCTGAGAGATGAGGGACAAATTGTGAACGTTTTCGTGATCAAGTAACTAAAATCTAACCTTGGCTATAATTATGAATCAAATGTGAACTTTTCTTGATGATAAAAGAACATGCATTTGGGACAAATCGATAGAAACTAAATTTGCATTTCTCGGTGTATCCGGTGACATGTTCCCGTAGTCTTGAATTTTTTTTATAGTGCATAGATTCACGAGATCCTACATTGAAAGAAGATTTTGAAAGTGATCTATAAAGCTTACAAATAAAGCAGTAACGTGCCAAGATTTGGAGGGAATTAGGGAAACGGCGCCTGAAATTTGTGCTAGCTATCATAATCGTTCTAGAGCTTTCTCAAATGCCACTTGCTGCAAGATTATTATTAAAAGATGAACTTGGGTTCTACATGCATCAAAGTTGTTAGCAAATAGTCTAGGCGCGCTCTGTCTTTCTTTAGCTTTTGCATTTGTTTTGTGGTGCGTTATGCCCCATACATCATGCTGAGCTGGATGTTGTTATTGCCTGCACTCCGGAATAACCGGTCCAACCGTCCAAGCATTCTACAGGCAAGACAATGATATCTGTGGTTTCTATATTCTCCGCTCTAACTTAGAAACTAGTATTAAACCCAATCCAACTCCTCTAATGCACACAATATTAATTCAACATGTTGATTTAATACCACTAATCTCTCAATATGTTCTGGATCACTGGATGTTGAGTAGAAACATTTTGTTCTATTTCCTCCTAATTTTTTTTGTCACATCACTACAAATACAATGTGTCAGCTTATTTAGTTCAACGAAAATGTACTTAGTAGAGCACTGGAACTAGTATTAATCGTGAAAGCAAGCTACATGTTGCATGGTTCAACTATATATCTATTCTAGCATCGGTGGAGTTAGTTGGCACATGGAATTAGCACTTTAGCACCGTGGTCACTGTAAAATTAAGGAGTTGATTTAGGTTTTGTGTTGAAAATATTGATGGTTTGCTAATGTTAAGTTGGAGATTTTATAAGACGATTGATTTTGTGAAGTGGATGTTTTCGGTTGACCCTGGCGGTCGGACCGGCTGAGTGCCGCCGGTCAGACCGCCGGTGTTGCGGCGGTCAGACCGGCCGGCTCGACGGTCTGACCGGTAGGATCCTGATCGTGTTCGGTTTCGGGTTGTTTTGTTGGATTTGGATATTTCCTTCGGGGATTTGGCTTCTAGATGGTTTCTATGCGTATGGTTACTGTTGTTATACTAATGTGAGTCAAGTTGGGACGAACTTGGGCTCGGAATATGGTTTCTTGGTTGTTGTATGTGCAGGTGTTGCTTGAGGCCTCACGAGAGTGTTGCCGGTGATAGATCGGAGTCAACTTGGGAGAAGTTGATACCAGGGATTAGGAGATCATGCGGAATACTAAAGGCTAGAGAACAATATACGTGGTGATGAAGAAATCCATATAGTATACAAGAGGAATTGTGTACGTATGGAAAGAGGAGTCGAATTTGGAAGGGAGTCCGAATTCGGGAAGTTTGATTGAGATAAGGAAAGAGATGAGTTGTATATCTGCAGGAGAGGGTTTCCTACGTGGGTTAGGAGTCCTAAGTTATGTTACATTCGTGGGCTTTGTACAGCCTACCTCATGTATAAATAGAGAGGGAGGGTGAGGCCTCCTAGTATCGGTTGTAGAGAGACTAGAGTTGAGAGAAAGTTAGGGTTTCGAGTTTAGTTCGAGATTTTGGTGAGGAGTGATGTTTGTGCACTTTGTAAACACTAGTTGATGTAATAAAGTCGAAATGTTTCAATCTACATATTTGAGTTTGTCATCTACCTGTGTTTCTGGATCCCGACAGTCTAACCGCTGGTGTGCGCACGGTCTGACCGTTGGGATAGCGGCGGTCTGACCGCAGGTATTCGGGTGGTCTGACCGGCGAGGCTTCGGCAGTCTGACCGGCGGCAAGTGGGTGGTTCGACCAGCGGCGACAGGGCTTCGTCATCGACTTCTTTTGAGGGTAATCTTTAAGTACGCAAAAGATATTTGGGTTTTTGGTTTTTCCTACCATTCACCTTTTTCTGGTAGGTTTATTTGGTCTTGTACGATCCTAGAGTCACGTCGTTAGCTAGCATTATGGACATATATTGTACAGTCACTGACATATGGCCGTTTACTTTCTGAGACACGTACGTTTACGACCCTGCTGCAGCTTGTTTACCGGGTTGCAACACAACTAGGTAGCTTTAATTATTTTCATCCTGCTTCTGTTTTCACATTAAGATCACCTCATTCTAATGTTTTCCCTCACAGGAATCGGTTACTATAGTTCCTTCAAACTCTTGCAATCGTTTTTCGATGACATGGCACCACGTGGCACACCTGGTTGACAAGTCAAAATAACAAAAGATATGTAGGATGCGAGCGAGAGGAAAAGGAAGCAAGGATGCTACATGTGGTTTCTTGCATTTTCGTTATTTTGTTTTGGTTTATTATTGACAGGGACAATGGTGTCATCACAGCTCATCTAAGTAAGCTCCATGTAGACACAATGCCATAAATATAAAAAATCAGCACGGTTCAGACCAAGGAATGAAATATGAACTGTTTTGATAGTTGAGGGACCAATAGGCAATAGCGAACCATTTCATCGTTGGGTGGTCAAAATCAAATTTTGGTCATAGTTAAGGTTT